AATGACACCATTATGCTCATGAATAACCTTTCTCATTACTAGTCGTCACTTTTGGCCGATTCTCACCCGAACATTGGTGCTACTTGTGAACGACTTCTATATTCCATAGTTTCACAGTTCTATGATGCTTTTTAATAGGTGACATAGCGGTTTCATCCGATTGGAATGGAGATGAAAAGACAGAAATGAAGTATGATGTATCAAAAGAAGACACATCACAACAACTCGTTACGTCCAATGATGATGATCATGTTCCTCAACTTCGATCATATGTAGGACATCATGTGAGTGTTTTTGTTCATGTTTCTTATCTTCTTACTGAGTAATGTATGTATATTCATTGAATTACAGAATCCGAGATCACCTCAACGTATTGGTCATACAAATATTTACATTGATAAAGACGCTCGCCGTGGTAATTCTCGACACAATGAACGACTTCGTTTTCCTGTAGCACAATATGATCGTAATCGAATACGTATGTTTTATTAGATTTATTTCTTATTTAATCTAGTTCTGTCTTTCTTTGCAGCTTTTCGTGGTCCTTTCATCAATTTTATGCCAAGAGTTCCAATATTCGCCGATCGACGCACTAAACAAACATTGATTTTTTCACCAACAGGAGGTGGTGAGTATTCATAATTTGAAATTTTATTAATGATGCATTATCGTTTTAGTCTATATTATCCCTCCATTGATTAATTTTTATGGTCAAATGTTTTCAATTGCTGAACTCATTGCTTCCGGTTACGCAAGTTTAGTCAGCAGTGGTGTTCCACCAACTGGTAACTTCAATATGATGCCATTTTTTCTACCACAACCCTGTTAGTTTTAGACTCTTTTTTACTATTTTAATAATGTTTTTCTACTCCTTATTAGTAATTGGTTCTGGTATTCCCAGGGTTAATCCTCGAACAGGTGGTTTCAATGGTGGTATTCGCACCAAATTTCATTCATTCTCTACTTCCAAACATTACAGAACACAAAACAATGTGGATGCAACAGTTGAAACAGAAGAAGAAGAAAATGAGGATGATAGTGATGACAATAACAACAACGATAATTATCAATACCAATCAGTTTCAGACAAGAACCATAAGAGACCGCGCAATGATGATAAAAGACCAACAAAGAACCATAAGAGACCGCGCAATAGTTATAAAAAAACGACCAAGAACCATGAGAGACCAACCAAGAATCGTCAGAGATCGACTACGATATTAGCAACTACGACACTTACACCGACAGGTACTATACCGCTCTATAGTTAAATCGAGTCGAATCGATTTGGATTAGTATATACTTTATAGTAGTAAAATCACCCTTATTTGTTAGAATAGCTATTAAATTTTATCTCGGTATTTTGTTGCCAAATAATTATAAGCTTTTGTTGATATAGATATGATAATTAATAACCTAGTACTCCTCGAGATATATTACAAGTGTAGTCATATTGAGTGAATTATCTCGAAGCTAATGTACTGTTTCAAAGCTTCGAATTCGTATAGGCATACAAAGAAACCGAACTACAGCTTGAAGTTCGGGTTCAATACATGCCTACATTGATGATCCTTCCGAACGAAAAAAATGAGCACAAAGAAAGAACAACACTAAAATATTCATCAGGAAGAAAACCAGCGCAAACCTCACTTTTATTAAATATTTAGACGATACACATTTAAATCTAATCTTTGATTTGGGCATAGTTTTCAGGATTTGCCAGTATAAAAGTGAATCATAAATAATAGATCCTCATATCAAAACTCCCCCACCGACAATACTTTTACATCTATATCCTCATTCTCAAGCGCTGAGAAAGAAAGTCTTTTTTTTGTAATAAAAACTTATTATACTATATGTTACATGATTTGTAAATATGGCGCACTAATATATAATCGATCAGATTTACTACCAGTAAGAGAGATACCTCTCTTTTGTCTTATTCTTTGAGAAAGAAGAACTTCCTTATCTATAAATAAAGTTTCTGTTTTGATTGATGCACACAAATACAAAATGATAACTTATAACGATATTTTCTTTTAGAAACATCTACGCCGAACCCAACACTATGCCAAGCATCCATATTCCCAGGTAAGTCAAGCTGTTTACCTTATCTGATATAGTGAGATTTAAATGCAACTTTTTCTTTTTATCGATGTTTTAAGCAGACATAAAAGAACTTCATGAATTCTTTTATTTTCTTCGATACATATGATTGAACATTATGAATATACTATATTCATTTAAAATGTTCACTTCACTATCGTCTGTAGAAGCATTTAAGGCAAAACTTAAAATTTCTGTTTGAAAATCTAGTTCTACGAAAACTAAAATAGAAGAGAAACTTTTTCGAGCTTATTATATATAAATGAAAGGGGATTAAATCCTCAATATGTGTTCATATACTACACAGAGCTTCTATTTTCGCATACCAACCAATCAAAATGAAGAAGAAAAGAAAAAAAAGAACCTGAAAATCATAAATAGTAAAGGAGGGTGTTGTTAATTGGTTTTTCACTGGATAATAGTTATTTGCAAAAGACTATTTTCATTTCGACTGATCATTTATATTGTCTAATAATTCTGCTATACATTATTAAGGCCCATTTAGATTAGAAAATTTTCATTCTGTTTATTCTAGCAATCGAACATATAACTTTTCTAATGATAGAGCTTGTACTTTAAACATTATCTGTTATTTAAGATAAATATATAATAATATGTGGTCTATCTCCATAATCGTTGATTATGATGTATGATCAATTTAAAAACAAATAGGGTAGATTTATTTCATTGTTACTATTGGGTACAGTGTTTGTTCTTCGAGAAACGTGTATGTGCTCTTTTATCTATCAATCTTACATCAAATATTTTTCTATTGTTTTCTATCTATAAAAACAATCTATCTGTTCCTTTAATTTTCACTATATTTATTCTGTGAAAAGGTCATGCTCCTGAATGGCTGTCACCCTTGTCTGACTCATCGGATCCAGATACATCAATCACATTTTTTCTGGCTTTAAAACAAAATCCGAAAGCAGTGGAGAAATTGGAAAGAATATTCTGGAAAATTACTGATCCGGACAGCAGTGAGTATCAGAAATGGCTGACGCGTTCGGAAATCAACAAAATTCTTACACTTGATAGTAAAATTTTGACTAGAGTTAAACGATTTCTGCAGAAACAATCATTTACGTCTGTAGAATTAATTGGAACTGATGTATTTGCGATTATGACAACAATTCGACAGGCATCGGACTTCTTTTCAGCTCAATTTCGTCCCTATAAAAATACAAAGACAGGAAGAACTATGCATCTAGCTGATGGCGAAATGTGTTTGACAGATGAAATTAGTCAATATGTTGATTTCTGGAGTGATTTCTACGGTTATCCAATTTTCAACACGGAACCCACTAATCCATCTAAAAAAAGTATAGTCGTTCCAGCTGATGAAAATGCTACGGATACAGCAACTACTCAAATTCATCCCATGATTGTTCCTCAATTTGTTCTCTCGTACTATAACATTCCGAATGTCTTGAAAACTGGTTTAGAATCAAATTGTTCACAAGCATCATTACAATTTGTAGGTCAATACTATAGTGAAAAAGATTTACAGAAATATTCACAAGAGGTAAACATACCGTTCAAACCTCTCAAAACAAATCATATTCTGGGTATTGACGATCAATCCCAACCAGGTGATGAGACAATGTTAGATGTTGAACAAATGGTGGGATTAAATCCTTTGGCTGAAACATGGTATTTCAATGATGACGTGAAGAATATAAGTAGTGATGGTATATTGATAAAGATGCTTACAATAAATGAATTGGATGATCTGCCACAAATTCTATCTATTTCGTACGTTCCACCTGAAGCAGGTCTGTGTGTATTGTTTATCAATTGTGATGAAAAAGTCGTGGATCTGAATAAGAGATATATTATTCGTGCAAATATTGAATTTATGAAATTGGCATCGAGAGGCATTACAGTTTTGGCAGCAAGTGGTGATGATGGAGCAAATAGTCAGTTTGCAGATTGTACAAATACAATGTTTATTCCTGTATATCCAGCCTCTTCACCTTTCGTAACAGCAGTTGGTGCAACTACATTAGTTAATGTACAGTACAAAGTATTGCAAGATCAACCACCAATTTGCACTGACAGAGGTCCACTATATCTGTGTGTATCCGATGGAGACGAAACCGCTGTTAGTGTTAATGGTCAACCTTTCAATCTTTTTACTAGTGGTGGTGGATTTTCAAACATCTTTTCTCAACCATCTTATCAAAAAGATGCCGTTAATCATTACTTTCAAAATGAACAACATTACCTTAATAAAACACCAGAATACTATCCTCCATCATCAATGTACAATCGATCTGGACGCGCTTATCCAGATGTGGCTGCACTTGGTGTAGATGGTTTTTTTGTGATAAATGGTACTAATCAATTATATGGTGGTACAAGTATGTCATCACCACTGTGGGCTGGTATTGTCTCAATTCTTAACTCTCGTTCAATAAAAATAACAGGCAAAACATTAGGCTTTCTCAATCCATTACTCTACAAGATGGCTAAAGAATGTCCGGAATGTTTGAAAGATATAACAGTTGGAAATAACAAATGTACTTCAACTATTTGCACAGATCAGTGCAAAGGTTTTCATGCTGCATGTGGTTGGGATCCTGTAACTGGACTTGGCACTCCAAACGTTGGAAATATTTTGGAGTATATAACGAAGTTATTGAAAAAGAAGGCGAAGAAAACAGAATACAGCTAAGTTGCAATCAATAAATGAAACAAAAAAGAAAAAGACTTTTTATTAGTTAGAGAGCATTTGATTCTTATTCATTTTTATCTTCAAATTTATTATAATCTTTCATTTTTTCAATAATACTTTTCAACAGAAATTACCAGCCTCAACTTTTGCTTTTTAGTAATTGATTTATATATCAACAATTAATATTTTTGTTCGAGATGTGCTTTATAAAATTAAAATAAATGCAGAGTTTTAATTTTCATCGACAATGTTTTGTGTTATTTATTTTTGAAATCAAAATATTCATCAGAGCTCTACATCATAAAAAAACACAAAAAGAAAAGAAAAGAGAAGATGCGTTTTAATATAACTGATTTCTCACCGAAAATTGTACTGAACTTTTTTCGGTTCCAATTAATGAAATGATTTACAGACAATTTTCAATATCATCTCAAATAATAAATGGTTAGCTCCTGTATATGGCTACATCGATTTCTATTGAATACTGAATAGATTTTGTATATAACTTCTTTCATATAAAACAGATTTAAATATGATTTTATAGATAGTTCGGAATCTGTATTTTTAAAATAAGTGAATCAGTGGATGATATTCAGCAGAAGACACTTTGTCGCTTTCATATAATTCAGTAATAGTTCACCCGTATCTTGTTGTTGGTTTTACTATTTATGCATGCTTTTTCTTAATGTTGTTGATAAGAGAAAATACTAATTCAATGTTTTCTTTTATTTCGAACAGATAATACTACGTATCAGCATGACAAACCCGTGACAAATAACTTCTGGACGATAGCTCTTGGAAATTTTAACAAAACAATGATTGAAAAAATCAACAAGACTATAAGTGGTAAGCTGGTTAATATCGAACAACCTGACGATTTCGTAGAAGCATATGCAAAAATTGCTGAGATTCTGTAAGACAAATCAATATCGAAAAAAAAACATTTTTATTTTGCGTAATCATTTATATTTTTAATACTTATTCTTATATTTACAAATAAATCAAGAATATTCATTCGCTAATTTTTTTTTGGACATTATTTCATAAATATCATATATTAATGTGCAGTTAATAAGTAATTGTTAAGTATAAAACAGAGATATGAAAAGAAATTATAATATATAAATGATTAAAGAGAAAAATCATCTTGAGGGTGGGAGGATATATGTGTGCAGAGCGAGTGACAGTGAGCTTGATCATAAGTGGTGAATTTACTGATATGAAGAAATACCAATGTGCGGCATAAATGCATTGATTTGGCTATAACTGTAAATACCCTTTCTTTCTGTGAAAAACTATTCATACCGACACCCAACCTTTTTCTGAATACAATAATTTTACACAAGTATAAAATATTACTCAACGTATTTAAGAAAAATAAAGAAATAGCATTAGAACAAACTATCAAGCAGCTAATGATACATACATCACAAACCTTATCTCGTATACTATCAATTGCATCACATATATTACTCTCAGACACAAAAAGAAGGAAATATATGTTCTAGTAAGAAATGCTGTTTATATAATTTTTTAATCTTCCTTTTCCCTTTTATTGATAATTAATATTACTCATAAACACAATTAGTTTGTTTCCTAATTGTCAATCTTTTTATTAATGGCCATATCGATAAATTTCTGCCTTCCAAACATGTTACAACAGAATGAATATATAAGTAAATGACGCATATCAAAACATTCTAGTTCGTACACCCCCAACATTTTAAAAAGTAAATTGTTAATAGGTGTTGATGTCATATTTTTGATTACTTGAATAAAGAAGCGTAGGCAATTATTCATGTATGTCTAATATATTGCTTGAAAAGAAAGAAAAAAGTGATGCTTATTTTCATGTATGTGTCATATTACGCCTGAAGAATATTTAATGTTATATACAGAATAATGAGTAATTTTTAGTTTCTCTTTTTCTTTCTATATATATGCAGATGTATACTTCATATATTGTTCTTACTTGACAAATCAATCACCATTGCACTTGATCATTATTATACATCATAATATTGTTACTGAAATGAGTTTATTTCTTGGATCTAACAATATTCCGTATGGCAATCCTGTCGAATATACTGGAATGATATCTCGTGAAAACGTTCCTCCACGTCTGTACGATTTTCATTATAATCTATTCTCATCCGTTGCTTATAACTCCGAAACTATTAGGTATCATAGAGTACCATATTCCAATTTTCAATCATAATGTTTGTACTTTTTTTGAATTTATATAATTTAATAAAATAAACATGTAAGAGAAAACAATATTTCTTATTTATATCGTTTGTCAAAATAAGATACAATAGTTTTAGTCAGTATTGAATAGAACTCAATCATAAATATAATTTCAATATTGTAAAGTACTACATCTGTTTCTACAAAGTAAAAGATAAGATATATATATTAACATTCTTCGATCAATATCAACATTCATATCTTGAGGGTGTGGGTGGATTTGGAAGTCGAGTGAATTTAATGTTACCGTACTCACACCCACCCTAATTGCCTTTGGCGCATCCAACTATTGAAAGGTTTTATGAAACTCTTGTATATTATGACTTTCTTTGTCGTTCTATGTCTGGATTCGAAATGGTGCGATTAGCACTCATAATATATATGAGAATTGTACTAGAGGTTCATAAGACGTATTACTCAACTTCTGAACAACATGTCATTCGTCTATAAAATAAGTCCTATCAAGTCTGATTTTACCTTAAATGACAACGAGGCAAATAATGTTTATGAAATACTCCATGAAGAGTCTGGTTTGAGCGTTGAAGATTTGATCTTTCACTTTAGCAACAGTGTTAAATATTTACGATTCATGTATTGTATTAAAATAGTTTCGAATAAAAACAAAGATGGGAGAGACAGAACAATGAAGTTAATGCTTAGATATATATTGTTAATTTACACAGTTGTGAGTATGAGTGCAGGTATGTGTCTTCGTTATCTAAATCTACGTTCACACCCGCACCCTCACGGTTTAAAAAGTGATGAAATAAAGTGTCAGAAATCTTCATTTGGCGTCTATTGTTCATCGTTGGTGCTGATATTTATTCGGTCGGTTGTTCCCCAAATGGAACTGGAGAAACTTCGTAAAAGCAATCTCTTTCGTTTGGTGTTGTATCATCGTTAAATAAATATAAGAAGGCCCAATATTCTGTTGCGATGTATGGAGGGTTCGTATCGTTCGCATTCATAAATTCTTCGCTAGAATTGAGAAAGGCTACATATCGTACACCTTTATCCCAAAGGTGCGTATGTTGGACAGACTAAAATACTTTATAAAGAATTGAATGCTCGATGATTTCAAGAAACTTACCGCGAGTCGACCCTCACTCCTCAAACTTTGCGTATATTCACTCCTCCACGGCTTTGGTCCTTTAAGCCATAAACAACCAGTCTCAATAAGTCGAAACCGATTGATTTGGATCAGATTATAAGTATGCGATCCATCTTGATTGAAATAAGCCAGTCCACCATGAAGAAGCATCGCCATCTCATTCTTACTCGCATTCTTTGCAATATCACTTTGGGCAATATCCACTGAATTGAGCCAACAAAAATGAGTTGCATTATCAGGAATTTTAGCTGCATGACGTATGGCTCCATCCGGAAAGTTAATACGCACAATAGGACTACGTATCCCCTGCAAATGTTCTGTTCCAAGTGATTGACCATTAATCGATGTGATCACATATGACGATCTCTGACCGTCTTGAAACAGTCGAATTTCGATATTTACCGGACAGAAATCTAGTATATTATCAAGTTAAGTAGAAAAATATAAGAAATTCTTACCAAATGGTCCCTTGACTGTGTTAAGATCAGTATCAGGGCCGATCAGATGATTCATTCTTGTCTGAATATTATTATGCTCCTCTGATGTTTCTTCTCTCACGTAGTATCGCCATCTACCACCATAGTAGAATATGGTAGCCATTCTTGGCACATCAGATGTATTGAGTATGTTGTTCAGCTCGGGATTCGTTGTAAATATTAAAAAATTGTTGTCACTCATATTAGTGTAGATAATAGATTTATGTTTTGATAATTGAAACCTCGATGCTCGTCTTTTGCTCTAGAAAATCAATTAACATGGTACATGTCTATGAACTCGAATTTATACGATATCGATAATCTTATTCTTCATTATTTCTCTCTATATTCATGTTTTATTGTTTTTTATATATGGCATATTTCTATGATAAGGCACTAAGAATAAGAAAAAAAACAGTAGTAAATAAATATATGATATACTCTTGCTCTTACTAGAACAACCAACCGAAGAAACAACATTCCATGTAAAAAAAGAAAGATATAAGTGAAATAGTAGATGCCAACACGCGTCGCTGATATATATTACGAGCAAGAAACAATCGAGCATGGTAACGCAAGGACGTTTGGAAAGAGAACGAAAATGTTATCAATGATAATCTCTTCTCTAATTCTTCGTGTTTCTTTCTATACATGTGTAAGCACTATATCTACTTTGTTTGAAAGAGAGAACAACAGAAGAGAAGAACAAGCAGAAAAAGAAAAGGAAAGGAAAGGGAGAAAGAAGAAAAAGACCAATGAAGGATATCACACCATATATAGAATAATTAAAGATGACTCCAAGCTTAGCTTCAATCAATATTTTCAATAAATAATATTCAATTTCTAAATTGTATTGTGTGTATGAAAAGTAAATGAAATTGAAGAATCAGTTATTATTTTATAAATGAATAATATTTACTTGAGAATATGTTGTGAATTGAGACTAGATATATAAGAATAATTTATGAGAGTAAAGTATAACGATTTCTAGACTGAAATGTGATAGTGACTATGTATATTTTATTTAAGAAATCGCACACATTACTGAATAATCTTCGTTCCTTATATAGTACTCGACACATTCAGTATCTTGTTACAGAAAACTGTCACATCATAAATGATAGAGGAAAGAAAATGAAATCTTCAAGTATGCGTTAGATTTACGAATAGTGATTGAAAGAAATAAAAGTTCGAAAGTTTAACGGTACGGTCCATGAGCATCTTTTCCCAACAAGCCCTATTGATTTTTATATCAGTGTAAAGAACAAGTTGAGACAAACATTTTGATCGACTTTATAAGTTTAAAGGTTACCAACAAAATACCTTATTTTTCGTCGTTAGCCTAATAATGGATTTCTACATATAGTTTCGAAAGTCGAAACAAATATAGCCAGTGAAAAGTTCTGACGTATGTTATATCTGAGACGCAGTTTTCGATGCTGTTCATTAATGAAGCCATTAGGAATTTAAGTCATAGCGTCCATATCATGTAATAAATCACCAAATATTATTCTGTATATGAGACGATTTATCTGATTCAACTTGTTTGAAATCAAGATATTCTTTGCCTTTGATACGATCTTTATTACTTGCTTTCATACGAAATATTCAATTTCAAATACTATATCAAAATCAAAAATCAGTCCTACTTCGTGTCGAAATGAACTGAGATAAGTTTATGACTCAACATCAAAAATAAATAGAACCAATTCAAAAACATTAGAAGTAGATGAAAATTTATTTTGAACCTCAATTCCAAAGTATATTTTAGCAATAGATACTTGTTGACTAGTTAAGAAAAACGCTAATAGAAATATAATGAGTCATACTTTCTTGAAGACGTTTGCATTCTATTTTAGATATTTTTATATTTCGAAAGACAGTTAAATTTGGTATTACATCGCACAATAATTGGCAATTATTGGTCAAACATATATACAATACATCGATATTTTCAGTTCGTAAAACTTTATTGATAAGTTTATAGATGAATGAATCTCGAAGTATCTGCAATTTCCTTCCATTTTGAACATAATTAGCATGTTCCAACAGTTAAATACTGTTATAATTCAATTCTCGAGATATGCCAATAGTCTTCAAAAACCAAGAAACAGCAGTTGTTGCTACTGATGTTTTACATTGTTGAAGAAGGAATCAAAAATGGCTCCGGGTGAAACTACAAGGTTTAATAGCTTGATTAGATTTATAATCTATTTCAAATTCGCTAATATTCTGTGAAACTCAGATATATTTTACGAAAGAAAATAAGAAGTGTAAGCTGCTATAAGTCAAAGTTTTGTGTCTTCCCGTCGATTTGGAAGACGAGGCTCTGAAAGTTATGCATATATAAAATTATTTTCAATCGAATGTAAAATAGCTGTTTTGGAAAATCTACTCCACTGTATACATTCATTCTGTCTGTAGTATCATCATTCGTATTATAAATATTTTTCTCTCTGTGAGTAGTACTGTAGAATTAATCCCTTTGTGTACACAACTGAAATACATAAATTTACATTTTTTTCTTGATATCTATCTCAAAACAAAAACCAAACAATGTTGCAATAAATTATAATAGCTACTTATATAGAACATATTTCTAACAAAAAATATTCTATTCTTTTTCATTCTTCTCTCACTTTCTCTTTTTTATTTTTCTAAATAATCATAATAAATAAATTACTTTTGTATTTTATTCAAAACACTTTTCACGTTAATATAAAATAACAACTCACATCTGCCAATATTTTATTCAGAACTAACTTTGAAAAAAAAGGAAATATGATTAATATTTCTATTGATAAAAGATTTTTTTGTTGTTGTTGCAAATATCATAATATGCTCAACTGATTATTTAAGTCATGCACAGTAGTTTCTTTTTAGTTAAAATAACAAGTAGGAAAATATATATATCATTTTAATTCACATAAAAATAAATCAAAACTTTATTTTAACATTGTAAAAATATTGAAGTTTAGCGAAAAGAACAACTATGAACATGAATAACAGAGTTGGAGTTGAAGAAGTAATGTATTAAATAGAAAAAAAATAATCTTGTTTTCTTTTTGAATATTTTAGTTTGTTGAAGTTAATTCTAATACAACACGATTCCGAACATTGTATGTAAATATTATGAAATAAAATAAATTATCAAACGAATTTCTTATTTCAGATCTGAACATTTTCGAAAGAGAAAATTAATGTGGATAATAGTTTTGATTGTTTTTATTGATATAGTTATAATTATTCCGACAATTCTTATTACATGGAACCACAGAAAAATGGAAAAAGTATTTACAACAGAGATAACAACAGCCAAGATAACATCAACAATAACAATAACAACAGAAATAACAACATCTACAACGACAGAGATAACATCACCAATAACAACAACAACAACAACAGCCAAAATAACAACTGCAAAGAATGGTATGGTAGTATTAAAACTAATTTTTTTTATTCAATCTTAGATATTTTTATTCGAATGATGACATAAAATAGTTTTATATTCGACAGTTGATAGTCATAGATCATACGTCTGTAGAATAATCTCGAAAGGTTCACTGAAAGACGAATGAGAAGATAATATTGGATCCACAGTTCATCCATCTACATCCACATATACATTCTCGTCGTTTATATGTAATGACACAGAATATATTTTTAATTTTAAGAAACAATTTTTCTATGAAAAAAAGAAAACACATTAAAATGTTTTTTAATGTTTTATAGAACAAATACTTTTTCCTGTTATCATTGATAACAATACAAAATGGAAACAGACTGCAGTTACTGTTGCTGGAGGAAATGAACGGGGAAGTGAATTAAATCAATTAAATCTTCCCATAGGTTTTTATGTTGATAATGATGATGACAGTATTTATATTGCTGACTGTGATAATCATCGTATAGTTAGATGGGAATCTGGTGCAAAGAATGGTGAAATTGTTGCAGGCCGAAAACCAGGTGAAAGTGCAACAGATGTATTGAAGTATCCAACGGATGTAATTCTTGATAAAGAGAAAGAATATCTCATCATTTGTGATGGTGGAAACCAACGAGTAATGCGCTGGTCTCGTCAAAATAGTCAGGATCAGCAAATATTTATACCTCATATTGTTTGCTACGGTTTAGCAATAGATAATAATGGAGATATTTATATTTCTGAATTGGTAAAACATCAAGTGAGACGCTTTCAACAAGGAGGAGATACAATAGGTACAGTTGTAGCAGGTGGAAATGGAGAAGGAATTCGGCTTAATCAATTCGATAGACCTGAATTTATTTTCGTCGATGAAGATCATACTGTTTACGTTGTGGATTATGGGAATAGTCGCGTGATGAAATGGATGAAAAATGCTACTGAAGGTATTCGTATTATTCCTGGACAAGCATCTGATATGAATCCTAGTCCACTAGGTCGTGCCAACGGTGCGATTGTTGATCATATGGGTAATATTTATGTGTCGACGACTTTAAGTAATCAAGTAACGCGTTGGTTGCCAGATGCAATAGAAGGTACTCCTGTCGTTGGTGAAATTCAAATGGGAAGCGGACCCACACAACTCAAAGAGCTACATGATTTATCATTTGATCGCCAGGGTAATATTTATGTTGTTGATAGAGGCAACAACCGAATACAAAAATTTATTATTGATCGTGGCTGAAATAAGTGTTTCATGATAAAATGACTTTTGATAAATAATTCTTTTTTTTTGTTAACTTTTAAAGTATTTTTCATTAACAATAAATAAAGTTCATTAAAAAATATAATCTGATTAATCATTCAACTTGTAAGCACAATCTTTTTAGATTCTTTTTTTAACTTCCATATATTTTTTTATCAATCTATACAACACAACCATTCCAATAAACAATTTTCAATATGATTTATATTTCTATGGAATAGAAATTAATGAAGTTATCGAATTGAGAATGTGTGATAATAATGATCTGATCATTGGATTTTTTTATATTAACATCCCCATCCTCAAGATCTCATTGCAAAAGATAGCTAAACACATTCGCCACGATTCGTTTTTCTCGGGAAACTTCGTCAAGGACTAACCAGAGTGGGCAAGGATGTGGGTATCTGTTCACATCCACGCCCTCAATAAGGTTTATAAAGCCTCATACACAGATTTTACATATAATTTATTTGGAATAAACATGCATTTTAATATATAAAAAGCGTTTTTATAAAAAGAAACGGTTCAGATAGTTTTGAGGTTGAGAGTGGCTGTTGGTATGAATGTGGATCTTATTTGGTCACTGCACTCACACTCACACCCTCTCTACAGTATTTTATTATAGCGCTGTACGAAAAACAAAATTAATGCAAACTTTTTGTCTCATTAATTTTTATTGCTATTTTTAATACTAACATTCACCTCAAATAAATTAATTGCTTCTGGTAACTCATCACCACCACATGCATGATAGTATTCATAATCCATATTTTAATTGATTTTTAAAATTGTTCTTGCGTTGATCTCAATTTTTTTCCTAATGTGGAATAGAAGATAAGTAACATAACTTGTCGAAACAAAAAAGTGCGCCATCAAAAGAAAACTACACATTGTTTTCTCTTTTTCATGATTATCAAGATTTAAAAACGTTTGCAGCGGTCTTTTCATACACATCGATTATATTTTTGTTAGTAATATTCCGTACTTTGTACTTTTTCTTTTAATGTTATCTATGTGAATGACAAAGAAGAACGGATTTTCGGACTAGTTGACAGTATATTCTTTTTTACTTTGATGATGATATGTGAAGATAAGAATCAGTGGTTTATGCTGAAAACGAAAAAGCATATGTTCGTTTCTCATCAACAATTAACAATGCGCAGAATAAGTGAATTTGCACTGACTAATGAGTATAATGAGATTAAAGTACATTTTTTCTACTTAATAATTGTGTGTGAAGATAAATGCAAGAAGTATATAAGAGACCTTGAATTATGTGGTTGTCACTACTATTATTACATTATCTATCATGGAGTCAGAACAAGTGCATACTGCCAATGAAATTGCATTATTAAACAATTTAACAGATAATTATGATTCATTACGCTATTGTTTACTGAAAGCACAAACATTTGATATAAAATCGTATGGTTTTCCAGCGATCTATTACAAAATTATGGAAACAGACAAGCAACGTGTTCAATCATTCGTTGATGCTTTTGAAAAATATAATTGGCTCAAAGATGCAGTTGTTTGTGAAATTGGCTGCGGTCGATTTGCGTTGACCGATCATTATTTAAATCATTGTAAAAAGGCCTATCTCATCGAAAGTAATCCAGCAGTATATGATTTAATCGAAGAAAAGCTTCGTAAAAATAACTGGCAAGATAAAGTTGTTTTTATACGTGGTGATGTTATGAAAATTAATGAACTTCCTGAAAAAGTTGATTTTGTTATTGGAGAACTAATGAGTGTTTTCTGTGCCAATCAACATCAAGTACCAATTTTTAAACATGCTAGAAAATGGCTAAATGAAAACGGAAAATTATTACCGGAAAAAATTAAAAATTTTATTCAAGTTGGTTATACTTATTTTGACAGTGAACATAAATTCTATCCATTAATGTTTACACGGCATTGGCCAGCACTATTGACAACAAAAGTCTTGGTCAATGTCATAGATTTATATACAGTAGATGAAATGACTGTAAATGTTATTGTTAAAGTTAAGGCTGTATTATCAGGCCAGGTCAATTGTGTCCTACTGAATTCTTATGTTCAAGTCGCTGAAGGTTGTAATTTTACTGGTACGGATAGTTTAATGCAACATACAGTGGTTAAATTGGATAACAAAACGCCATTTATAATGAAAGAAGATCAAGAATATCAATTGAAAATCAAATTTACCTATGCAACAACAGTCGATGAAGCTAGTTTTGAGATAATTGAATAACTTTTCTTTCACTCTGTTCGTAAATGTATTTCTATTTAAAATAAAATTCATACTTTTGAGTAACATTGTATGAATCATATAAAAATAATCATCTCTTCCTCTATCGATTGATTAAGAATATATATTATAACAAACTATTATTTCAAAAATACGTATACAAAAACTGACGTTTCGAACGTAAAACGTTCTTCTACAGAGTAGAGACAAAACTTTAATATTTATGATTAAAAATGTAGAATGCTTCGATATTATTTTTCTTCTTTTCTTTATTTCGATTCCATTTAATGTTGGTATGGGCAAGATAGTAAAGAATAACACGTGAAAGATTAGCTTTCTTTTGTTCGTACCAGTATTAAATCAAATCTAAATAAAGAAAAGAAGAAAAATAATATTGAAGCGTTTAATGTTTTAAATCATAAAGAATCTTTATGATTTAAAACGTTAGTTTTGTTATTGTTTATATATTCTTGTATGATTAATTACAAAACATTTTCTAATAGGAGAAGCAACTCCAACTTAATGATCACTTTACTGGGTGTGGATGCAAATGAATACAAGATCAATACCCCTACTCATACCCTCAACATCGACTAAGTAGCATGATTTAAAAATCAATAATATAACAGATAAGATATCAATATTCTATGTGATCTGCCTGTGACCAATCATATCCTATATTTTGCCAAGCAGCTAGCTGTCTCAATTATGTATGACTTCTCTGTTTGGAAGAAAAAAATTTCATTACACTGTCGAAGTTTCAATTCTGACGGATAAATTTATTCGAGTTATGATCTCGGCAGATTCTGTTAATGAAAATCACGATTTGTAGTTTGTTTCTAATTACGAAAATTGAAGTGAACAAGAAAAAAATATCTAGATTATATATTTATGCAACTTTTCGCTCTATAAAACAAAGACAATAAATAATACTGATAAAACAAAAATATGTGTTAATAGAGTGTTTTATTGAATTATAATAAATTCAACCTTTAGCTGCTATGATAATATCATCAGCTATTTTTTCAGCTGCCATAAAAATTGGTACCATTGGATAGTAACCAGGTATCACTGGAAATATTGATATATCACATATACGTAGATTATTTATACCTTTGACTTGTGCTTTTGAATTAACTACAGCTAATGGATCAGTTTCAGTATTTCCCATTTTATTTGTACAACAGGCATGATGTCCCCATACATATTCATATATGAATGCACTCAATTGTTCATCAGTCTGAAATTGACTACCTGGTAAATCTTCATAATCAACATATTTCGAAAATTGACTATTAGTGAATAAATCTCGTAGAAAACGAATATGTTGTATAAATTGATTAACTTCAACCGGTCCATTTTCATCTTGAAAATGTTTCATTTCAATTAATGGTGTATCAAATGGATTGGTAGATTGAATATAAACATTACCTAAATTATTTTTATTACGTCCAAGTTCTATATCTACAGTTAAATATGTTCCAAAAGGATACTGTGCCATTGTCTGTAACCAATTTGTTCGAATACCAGTAAATCGTTGGGGTACAAAGAGAAATATACTATCGGGAAAATTTGGTACAATTGGTTCAGCAGAACGAAATATAGAAAAAATATTAAGATTCGATGAATAAATACTCGCTGTTGGATTATTTAAATAATCAATTAAACATGGATCATTAGATGTTTTATTGAAAATACAATTAGAATTATTCGATTCATATATATTTTCATTTGTCTTTAATTTAACAATATATGATATTTCACTATGTTCCTGTTGATTTTTACCAACGCCTGGTAAATCTTGTATAACTGGAATGCCCAACTTTTCTAATAGAGTACGATCACCAATACCACTCAGTTGTAACAATTGTGGCGACAACCATTGTCCACCTGATACAATAATTTCACGTTTTGCATAGATTACTGATTTTTTTACATTTTTAATATTTAGAGATGGTGATGCTAATGGACTGGCTTTGTATAGATTTGAACCTTTTACATATTGTACACCGCATGTATTTTTTGTTGTTGGATCAATAATTAATTTTGTAACAAATGTATTTGTCCATATATGAAAATTCGATGGTCGAAGTGATTGAACACTTTTTATACGTTTATAAGTACTGGATCTTATACCTTCATCTTGATTAATCGATTGAGGTAAATAAAACCAACTATCATAAGATTTATTTTCATTAACATTTGGATTATAATTTAAACGTTCATTAATAGCTTCGAATAAAGTATTAATAGCAGGATTAGTTATATTCAACTGTGACGAAGGTTTCCTATAAGCTGGTGCTGATATATCTGCCCAACCATTTTTATTTTTATCGGTATCATTATTTAAACAATATTGACAATTTTCTACGAATGGTTGATATTTTCCTATCATATTTTGTGAACTCCAATTTGAATCACCAGTAATCGCTGCTATGTTATCCCATTCAGATGGATTTACCGTCATTGCTACTAATGCATTCAATTGTGCACTACCACCTAATATCATTCCTCGTGGATATAATATTGTTGTGCCATTTTCTTTCGAATAGAGATAAGGATAAAAATTAATAGTTATAGGTAAATTTAATTGAGTTTGTGCCCAAAATCCCGGTGTTCTAGTATCACCACCATCATAATCAGGACCAGCTTCAATTAATAAGACGCTGAAATTGTTTAACGCTAAACGTGTAGCTACTGTTGCGCCACCAGGGCCCGAACCAACAATAATGTAATCATATACTGAAGCTGCTTTTCTTGCAGCACAGTCTGGTACTAAAAAAAGTAATGGTAGAAGAATAAACTATGATATTACTAAAATTATATTCTTCATCCAAAAAAATGTAATCAAGAGTTACTTAATTAGAAGCAAAAAGTAAGATATTCTTACCAGTCAATTGTCTCGTTGGGAGATAAACAGGAATCAAAGACAGAATAATCACCACTGCGATTGTAGTAAATGTGCATGCAAGAATACTTACACTTATTAATGGACTTATGTCACTCCTCATTGTTGTATTGCTCTAAATAAATAAAGATAACAAATTCATCTCGAATAATAGATATTATGAATATGTTTTATTAGGTAAAATAGTCTTTGTGAAAACAAAGGAAGTGTGTATAAATTTCAAACACAGACGATTTCATTTCAATAATATATAAATAAAATGTTCTGTAAAATATTTAACGAGTAAATTATGACTGAAAAAATGTCCGAGAGTATCTGAGTGCAAAATAATAGGCAACAAGTTTTGTTTTTCAATACATGAAATAATATAAAAGCAAACAGTATATTTACCTTGAATTAACGTCTATATAGATAGAAAAAAGTAACTATATACATATGTATATTTCAAAATGAATACAATACAGAATAATAGACAATAGAATATTATATATCTATTCACCAAACGAGTTACGACTGAAAGAATACTTGAGAGTAACTGAGTGCAAAATATTAGCAAGCAATGTGGACTTTGGTTATAGGAAGCTTAAAAATACTTAAAGATTGTCTGATGAAACCAATCAGAAATCAATATACGATAAACTGTTGAAAATTTAACCAAAGATTATCAGATGTCGACATTTTAAGTCTACCGGTAATCTATGCATTAAAGATTTCTCATTAATAATTAAAATAAACGCTACCTAAAAGCGTGTATATATATATAACTAAAGGAAAGAAAGAAAAATATAGATGATATATATTACATCGATAAAGAAATATAATAAATAGTGAATATGTAACAGTGCGACATCATTGTATCATATTCTCCTATTGCTTGAAAAAGGAGTGTTATCAAATAAAAAATGGAACATGTTGTTTCATTTTTAAGATATGAGTTAAATAAAAAAGGCAATAATAAAACAAATGGATGTATGGATTCTGTGAAATTGTTCTATTTGTAGGAAAACGTCTAAATGAAAATAATCTTAATTTCAGTTTTGATGAATGCGAGTCATTGGCATAAATACTAAAATGAAATGTTTCTGTCGTTTTCCTATCACATTATGAATTCAGTCTGATTCAATATTTTCACCTTAATTCAACTATTTATACTCAAATACATGATTAATCTTAAGAAATAATATTTGCACTGATACATCCATTTCAACTTATTATTCGTATATAGGTTTAACGATGCACTGATTTACTCGTTTTCTCAGTAATAACTTTTTCCACCCTATTTAGTTGTTTATTCTAATTGAAAAAGAAATTGTTTTATTCATCTATATTTGATTAAGTCATGCACATATAATTGTCTTGTTAAAACTTGAATTTTGATTACTTTTTTTCTCATCATAATAAGAATGAGTTGTATAATTACTGGCAGTTATCGTTATATCAACGCACAGATAACTTCATTTATTCTAAAATAAAATAAAATTTTCTTCAAACAAGTACAAATCTTTTACTGGTATGTATAACGACTCGTCACTACTCATCTGTTTCACAAACAAAATCAATAGCGTACTACCCAGATATTGATGTGTTTTTAATGAGAATATGACGGTGTTTTCTGTTCAAGTATATAGAAAACTATACCATATATCCGTTTAGTAACAACATAGAGAAGAAGTAATGAAACAAACATTGAGTCAGACACTCAGCTAAGATCTTGTCTCTCTCTTTGACTAATACATCTTTACCTACACCTAGTCGTACGATTGCAATACATATATGTTATTTCTATTAAGAAAATTTTGTTTAGAAGGATATTCTCAAGATTGAGAATGTCAATCAAAATCCGTATCCGTTCTCTCTTCACTAAGCTCAAGAAGTTGCTACAAGAATTGAATCTATTCAATAGTGGAAGCAACGATGTTGTCAAAATAAAGAATGAAAAACGATCAACACGATTATACCTTATCCTATTGATTATATCAACTATTATTCTGACTTTTTATTATTGTATTATACCTTTTCTTAATACGGTAATTATTCTATCGCCATCATTTATTGAATATTCTGCTCTTATAAAATATCCAACATTGAAATGTCCTTGCTCAAATATTGTAATAGAATACAATAAATTTCTTGAAATTGAACCTCTTTATCATGAATTATGTCAAAGTGATTTAGTTAGTGATAAATGGATTAATCATCTATTTACTCTTTATGAAGAGGGTTGGATAAATTCTAATCCATCTGATTTTCGACGAACAGGTGCATTTCAATTTCAGACACTTAGTTCTCTTTGTCAATTAGCAAAAAATAGTATGGAAAACAATCTTGAGTCATTTCAATCAACAGAATTTATACAAATAGAATTGATTTCTGAACAATCATTTCATGCAACAATCAATTCATTTATTAAAGATTTCATCGATATGACACCCAAAACATTTGTTAGAACATTACGCCTTATACAAGATATCACAGCACAAAATCTATTTATGACCGGCGCCTCGATGACCAGTCTCATACCTTTTATAGGTGGTGACATAACAACAGCATTTTCTCTCTATGTTGGAATAAATTATACATCACCAGATGGTTTTACTTGTGGTTGTTCGGGTTCTACAGCCACTACTTGTATGATTTTGACAACATTTCAAAATAAAACTATTCCAGGTTTTCAAACAGGTTGTTACATGTTGAGCGCACTTTTACAATCAACATTAGAAGCATTTTATAATCAAACATTCATTGATTCATTTACTAATTCATCAGAAATCATTGTCAATCATTTGAATTCATCAAATTCCAATTGGACAATTGAAACATTACTCAATCAAATGTTTGTAGCACAATGGTTGAATACAACATCGTATGAAAGATATTTTAACAGCTGTGCACCTGATCAATGTCAATACACAATTACTCAATATTATAATTTTATTCAAGTGGTCACATTAGTAATTGGATTATTCGGTGGATTAACATCAATACTTCGAATTATCACACCGATTATTATTATGTATATATGCCCATTCTTTTGGAAGTTAATCAAGCGACGACGAATACGTGTTGCGCACAATCTACACGCAGAAATTATTGAAAGTAAAGTTATACTTAACTGATGCCTTTTCATCTTTTATTTTTTTTAATTTTATTTAGGAGTCTCTATTTCTAATCGTATTATGAAATTGTTTCAAACAATAAAGCGATTAATCCTTCAAATGAACTTATTCGCTAAAATTCCTCCGTCTGAAGACGAACAAGTTCTTCGACAAGAACGTTATATAAGCCGACTCTATTTAATTCTTTTCCTCATTTGTTTATCAATTTGTATTTTATTTACATCCATTCGTTCCGAACCAGTGAGTGTTACTGTTGATTCACCATCAGTAACAACTGCTATTGAACTCTATAATCGATATCCATTTACATTAAACTGTCCTTGCACTCGAAGTACAATGAAATATAATGAATTTATAACTGATTTAAAAGCCGAATTTCATGAAATATGTTTAAGTAGATTGATTTCTGCCGAATGGATTAATGTTAAGTTTTCATATTTTAAAGGTGAATACGTTGAAATATTTGATTTTCGTTTTCAATCTCCCTATATGTTTCAACTTTTATCAACACTTTGTTCCATTGCTAATAAAACAGTTGAAGATTCGTTAGAATCATTCTATCTAACAGAATTATTTACTAATGAACTTATCAATGTTGAATCTTTTCAAACACAGATTGATTTTGCTGTAACACAATTTAATCAAACTTTACCTGATCTATTTCAAATTATTATTCAATTAACAAAGGACAATTTTGAGATAAATCAGTTTATTTCAACAATGAATTCCAATGTTTCTTTCGAAAGTGGTTATTCTGAAAATCAACCACGAGTAATATTTTTTCCTGTGTCTTTTCAAGTACCGACCTATAATGAAAACAATTGTTCATCTATGCCGGATGATCTTAAGATGATTCGATGTTACTGTACACTATTTTCAACGCATGATTGCTATACACAGACAACAATTTCTAGTGGAAATAACTCCTATCATGTCACAGGAATGGTTTCATCATGGAATCATTATCAATCTCTGTTAATGTCAACTTTAGAATGTTTCTATAATGAAGAATGTCTTGGTCATCTCATACAAATGGTTGATTCAACAAATATATCAACATCTGATTTTATTCTTCGACAACCATCATCATTTTCTCAAATCCATACTGAATATAAGACAATCGAAAATCTCGTTAATGATATATTTATTTATTCATGGAAATATAATACGTCGTATTTATCTTATTTTGAACAATGTCAGCCTTTACAATGTCATTATACGTATCAAAGTCGAATCAATTTAATTTATATTATAACAACAATTTTTGGATTAATTGGTGGTCTCAATATTATTCTAAGATTAACGACACCAATCATTTTTAAACTAGCATTGAAAATCTGGCACATTGCCCGACGACAACGAAACAATGTTACAGTTGCAACAAGTGTATCAGTACCCATCAGAACAGGTAAATTTCAAATCATTATGATGCTGTCATAATACATATATTAAATACTTGCTGTGTTTTTCTAGGTATTCTTATTCGCTACTTATCTATTATGAAATCTATGAAAAGTTACATAATAAATTTGGATGTATTTCCTACTCTCCCACCAACAAATGATCCAAAAATTATTCGAATTAATCGATATAAAACTCGGATTTATTTAGTTTTATTGATCACAGCTTTGATTATTCTTGTTTTGTATGCTTCATTGACACAGAATATCATTACTAATACTATTAAATCTCCATCTATGTCACAATTTACAGCATTATATGCTCAATATCCTTCAACATTACAGTGTCCTTGCAGTCGTCCGACAATAAAATACAACAAATTTTTTTCACGACTAGAGCCACAATATCACGAAATCTGTTCAAGTACCTTCGTTATGAGTCAATGGATCGAAAATTTACAAAATCCTTACGAATATAGATATACCTTTACTATAGACACACTTATTATCGATAGTAATGATTTTCGATTCGCTCTTGCAATGCAATTTCAAATGTTGTCCGTCCTTTGTGATACTGCTCAGACAACGATTAATCAATCAATATCAAAGTTTCAAGAAACAGACTTCATTACCTTACAAGCTATTCCTATTGCTGAATTTAACGCTCGTACACAAATTCTATTTAATGAATGGAAAAGCACAAAAAGTAATCAGTTTATAGAAACACTTCAATTTTTACAATTAGTAAACTTGGCAAACCAATTAGCAACTGTCGAGAACTACGATTGGGAGTTTTTTCTCAGAAATGATACCGATCCGCATCCCGTATTATCTGTTGTTAAAGGTGTACTAGATATGATTACCGTACCGCAGACGTATGGCGTTGACAATTGTTCTTGTGCATTAAAATCAACCTGTTCGAATCTTGCGATTTATTCATATCCGATTTCAAATAGATTATTAACAGAAACGATCCCAGGCTTTCGCATAGGCTGTCGAAGTCTGGATGCTATGCTACAGTCAAGTTTATCTTGTCTATATAATGAAACATGTTTAGTTCTGATGCAAGCAGCCATATCCTACGCCAAACCTATTCCTGTAAAAACATTAAGCTCCAGTCCTTCGTTCTGGCCACCAAATACAACTATTGAAGTAATGCTTGACGAATTATTTGTAACAAATTGGCTTTATGAAACATCATTTGAGAAATATTTCGATGAATGTGCTCCTCAGTTATGTCAATATTCATATACAATGCGATTTTATCGGATCTACATAGTAACAACATTATTTGCATTATTTGGTGGTTTAACAAAAGGATTACATATTGCCATATCTTTCATAGCATTTGTCATACTTAAATTACTTAATTGTAGAAAGAAAAAACATACAATAGTACCAGATATACAACGACTGGACATTTCTGTAGTCGATGAAGACAATAAGAAGAATGATGAAGTTTCACACGTATCAACAGAGGTACGACAACTATCTCAGATATTGTCTATTTTATTTCTATCTTTTAGTTTCAACCAGTACCAATTCAAGTAGATGTCGAAAAGTGAGTAGTAAATCTGAATATTGAATTTGATAATAACTATATTTTATCTTGTCATTCAAGTGTGAAAAGACGAAAAGAGCAACTTTTTCTGATTGGTCTTTTTTTATTAACTGTAACTGCAATAGTAGTAGTTTTTATTGTTTGGTTTTTGGGACGAAATAAAGAATATCAACCTATTTCAATTACACTACCAAGAACAGAGATGACTAGTTTGGCAACAATCGAATCAACAACGCCATTAACGAGTATGTTTGAATATGTTTAATAGAAAATTCATTTTCTTTTCTTAGCTGATTGTTATATGACCTTCAAATCTGAGTCTCAAACTTACCCAACCGGACGCCATCCAATGTCACTAACTATAGGTGATTTCAATAGAGATTCCTATCCAGATTTAGCAGTAACTAACTTTGAAGATCACACAATCTCAGTAATGTTAGGAAATGAAACTGGAACATTTCAATTTCAACAAATCCTTTTGACAGGTGATCTATCTTATCCATTGGGAATAGTTAATGCTGATTTAAACAATGACACATTATTGGACTTAGGTGAGTCTTCCGAACCTTTACATAAACAGAAATACGAAGTACCACTACGGTAGTTGAATTTAAGAATAATGACAAAGTCTTTGTCAAGTGTTATTTCCTTTGAATATATATTTTCAGTCACAGCTTATTGTGACCATTGAGCAGTAACTGCATGAAATAGAATTTGGATCTGTGAAAATAATCAAAAAAGAGTCGGAACTTTATAAACTATCGGCATATTCTGAGGATTGGTAGTTGTGGAAGATGTCCGATCGACAATTGGTTTTTATATAAAACAATCTTTTCATATATTTTTAGCGGTGACATTATCTGGCGCAAACCAGATAGCTATATTTTATGGTATTAATACAAATGCTTTATTTAACAATCAACCTTATCGGTTTGCTTTCGATTCACGGAGTAATAAACCAGGTGCAATTGAAGTTTATGATGCGGATAACAATGGGTTTCTCGATTTAGCTGTTGGAAGTGCACAAAAAGTGAATCTGTCTGAATATCTTGATCCCCATGCAGTCATCGGTCCTCTGCTAAAACGAAAGCTCTATGATGTGTTTAAAAATCCAGGCAACGGATCCGGATTTATCAGTGTATGTGCCAATCCATGTCAATTGTGGTCTAGTAATGCTATTGCATTCGCTGTCGGTGATTTTGTTAATGGAGGAAAACAGAACGACTTAAGTATATTGTCATCGAACAGTGACGTAACAATGTTTTCTTCGATAACATTTACTAAGCGTGGATACGGGGAACCTTGGAGTGTTAATTCTGTATACGAGTATCCATCAACAATTATTAAAGGGCGATTTAATGATGATAATTTTGATGATTTGGCTCTTATTTCACCGTCATCGGATACTTTGCAGATCTTACTTGCTTATGATGAATACTTTATTCAACAAATCTATCTTACTAATGCGTATCCAACGTCTATTGCACGAATCAATTTTAACAATGATCAAATTGATGATATAGCGGTATTGCATTGTAATCGAACTGTGAGTGTATTTCTCGGAAGTACTATTGGACTTTTCAGCCGAAGTCCTTTTACTGTTCATATAAATGGTCAAAACAACGGTGAATGTGCTCAATCACTGAAAGTAGCTGATTTCAATCAAGATGGAAGAGACGATCTTGTATTTATAGACACAGGAACAAATAACATTAGAGTTTTGTTGGGTACGAGATGTAATCGATAAACTCACTAAGTTTTGCTTAATTTCTTCTATGTATTTATAAAAGCTTATGTTAACGTAAAAAAATTGTGAACGTCGATTTATTACTTGTGCTTTTTGTCAATTCAACGTTTAACTTGTTGTTTTAACAATTCATATATTAACTCTATGTGTATTAATTCAAAATAAATAAAACAACGTTAATATTATATCTGAGAGTAATTCGAATCTGTAATGGGTGTGGGTGTGGGAGTGGATGTGGGTGTGGAATGAATAGAATACCCGAAGTCAGACCCACATCTACCCTCACCCTTAAGAGTATCAGATTGATTTGTATTTAAGCGTGCAGGTCGGTCTGTTTTTCAAGTGACACTCACATGTGTTAACTATGTAGTGAAGTTTTTATTTTTCCAGTTAAATTATCAATAACAAGAACTTCATGTTCAAATAATTTTTTCAATAGTTTCTGATTTTGTTTCAATTGTATTACATCGAAAAATGATTGACCGAAAACATTTATTCTTTGTACATTAGAACCGATTTCGATTAGATATTGAATAAAACAATGTCGACAACCATGAACTTTTAAACATAAATATAACAAGAGATCATTGCCATTTTCATCAGTTTCATTTAAAACTGATATCGATAATTTGATAATCTTTTTCAATATTTGAAATTGTTTTTTATTTAAGAGTTCAAATAGACACTTTCTCGTTGTGAAACACGTATTCAACGAATTTTCATCAATTAATTGATTAAATAACTGTTTTCCCATACGACTTCCAAGCATGATGTTCATATTTTCTTCGATATAATTTGTCATATGGAAATAATTTCTAAAAAGTTGATTTTGTTGATACATCATTAGAATAGTATCTATATGATCATTTTTTATGAAACGATTTAGAGTACGTGTAAACAAATGTTTTGACCAGTCATCATTCCATGCTGTGATCGTTTTCAAATATTCATTAAGTAAAATTTTTATTAGTTCTCTTTGCGTTGTTCGAATAATTATATTTCTATCGTATTTAACTTGCTCTTTGTTCAATTTAATCATACGTAATACATCGAGTAAATAACGTTCTAACCACGTTTCATCATTTAAAATGGATCGTATTGATAATAAAACTAAATCGACAATTGATTGATAATAGTAAAAATTTATATTCGTACACAATTGATAACTATAGATGAAATGTTGTGGGAAAATAATCGAAAGTAAAGAACCAACTATATTTGAAGTATACCCGTGATAATATTTTAAAACATTCGGATTTGAAATGATGAGCCCTTTGAATATACATATAAGATGATCGAAATTTTTTCGACAATGAACCGAATTAGATCTATTGTACATTCGCTCTAGACAATTAAAGGCGTTACGCAAAACATATGGACCCCATTCGTGAGGACCACATTCGAAACGTGCACCACGCGTGTAAAGAAGTGAAAGTATTTCTTGAATTTTATTCGAAGTTTGTTCGAATTTGTTTAATGCAGTTTCCAATTCGTTGTCGACTTTTTGGATTTCACTATCCGTTAACTGTTTACGTATGGCTTGAAAATGATCTTGTTTTAATTGAAATTCTTTACCTGATCGAACATATTGATTTTGTACATGAAAACGAACTAATAATTCTAGACATTGAACAATTTCATTATCATTCGCTGTTCCATTTATTAATGCGAGTGTTCGCGTTATATCTTGAAACTCTAATGAATTATAATAGGAATGCATTGTTTTATCGTCAACTTTTATGCATAAAAAATCGGTAAATAGATGTAAGCGTTTGTCGAGAAGAATCTTATTTATACGTTGGTTTAAACCAAGAAATATCCGAAATATAGAATAGACATCACCCGAATAGCGAAAAATGATCATCAAAATTTCATCCGGTAACTTTTCTAATGTCGACGGCATGTTAGCCATGTATCAAATGTTATTTACTGTCAATATGCGCATACCTATGTAAATTTCATAAACTATGATTCATACTATTGACACGATTGATTGGTAACCACTTTTATCTACTTGCCAATTCTGTTCGTAAAAAAACCTCAAATAGATGTCACAGAAATACTGTCAATATAAAATGAATACAAATGTTTCGAACTAGTTTAGTAATACAGAACAAGTAGCATTCACACATCTAAAAATTTTGATTCAAATCGATTCTAATTAGTTTTAGCCGATTTTTGTCGGAAAAAGTAATAAAACACCGATATCTCGACTTTTTTTCATCATTTTTTTGAAGTTATCATGTCGAATAACTGAGGTGTAGATGTGAGCATGGATGAATAGACGCCATATCTACACCCACACACTGGTATGTACCGTGTAGAGTTGATATGGACAAGTACTCTCTCAGAATGAATATATTTTCAGTTGTTTTTGCGATTGAAAAGAAATTTCTCGACTATTATGGTATGACGTAATTGAATAGAAAAATAAAAACCATAATGCGTCGATTCATTTTACCATTTTCTTTCAGCACTTAATCGTCATGTAACTACGCAGAATTATAAAAATTATTGTGTGATGATACATGCTTGAAAAAAAGAAACGTTTAAAATGCAACACATCAAAATGTGCAAATATGTTGTCGTAATGCGTTTTAATCTCTATTTGTCTTTATTTACCAAAAACAATACTATCTTATAAGATAATTAATGATAAATATTGTTTACTAAAGTCACAACATTTTAATAGTTACTCTCTATTAATCATCACAAGAGTTTATTAAATGTCATGTTTATTTGACTATTTGCATTAGAATAATATAGCAAAGAAAGGTATATGCGTCGTAACAGGATTATATACGTCTTCTTTGCCATTCAGTATTTTTTCTCTTTGAAAATATTGCAAGGTATAGCATTAATAATGAAAGGCTTTTAGGGCACATGAATCATTGTATTTTCAATGCACATAATCGAAAAAAACGAAAATAATGTTTGTGAAGCAGAATAAGTGGTTAAAATTTTTACTCGTATTATTCTTGACAACAGGAGCAGTATAAATTGAGAGATCAAATTATGTGACAACATTCATTTTTACTGATCTTGCTATGATTATTCACTTGCAACTAGTTGGTCTTTTCATTACTGTACTATTGACTCAAACAAGTATGTCCAATAATTTACATCTAAACAGGCCTATTCGAAACAAAGATGTTTCATAGGACGTTGAGAAAGCTTTATGAGACGTTTCTGCTTTGCATATATGATAGAAAATGTAATTCAAAAGTTTCTTATACTAATGAATATTTATTTATAGTAGCCAGTAAATCGTATTATGTAACAAAATCTGGTAAGGATAGTAATGCGGGAACATCTGAATCAGCTTCTTGGTTGACAATACAGAAAGCAGCTAGTTCAGCAACAGCTGGTTCTACCGTTTACATTGGTTCTGGAATTTATTATGAAACAGTAACAATTAATGTACAAGGCAATGCCATGGATGGATCAATTACATTTACCAATTTGACACCAAATACAGTACCTATTATTTCAGGCAAAGATGTCAAGGTTGCATCAGCTGATGGAACAAAAAATTTAATTTTTATATCGAATAAAAGTTATCTACGTTTTATTAATCTTGAATTGATGAATTTGACGGCAACAGAATGTAGTGGAGTAAGAATTCTTGGTGGTGGAACAAATATTGGTAAGTATTTCTTGACCATCTTGATACCATTAGTAGAGATTTATGATCTGTTCTTTGTTTGTAGAACTTCGAAATTTACATATTCATAACATTCGTGGTGGATCAGAAAATGGTGGTGCCATGGCTATCACTGTCTACAATGAAGATCAGAAAACAAGTCGTCGTCAGTTGATCATTGATAATTGCACATTACATGATTGCGATCCAGCATGGAGTGAAGCTTTAACATTGAATGGTAACATCGAACTGTTTCAGATAACTAACAATCGAGTATACAACATGAATAATATTGGAATTGACTTCATCGGTATGCATTAAAATATCTTTTTTTGTCAAAGTTTAAACATAGTTTCTTTATTACTAAATAGGTGGAGAAAATGGAGTAAGTTCTCTAGGAGCACGTTCAGGTCGATGTGCTAATAATACTGTCTGGAATATTCATTCAGTCTATGATGGAAGTGCGGCAGGTATCTACGTAGATGGAGGCTCAAATATCACTATAGAATGGAATGAAGTCTATCAATCAGATATGGGAATAGAAATCGGAGCGGAGAACAAAGGTCGTGTAGCTGCAAATATGACTGTACAACATAATTATCTTCACAATAATGATAAATATGGTCTAGCTTTTGGAGGATACGATTCTAAGTAAGTCATTCATTAGTACTATTATAAAATAAAGAAATAATTTTTTTTGATAGACGTGGCGAGGTTATTAATAGTTTATTTGCAGATAACCAACTCGTGCAAAACGATGTCAAGCTTACTGGTGGTGGAGAAATTGCTGTATCGAATGCTTCAAACAATTTTGTTCTTCGTAACATTGTAAAACCAAATAAACAAAATATAATTTTCTTGGTAGATCAGACATTAGGTTTAAAGAATCAATTTGATTATCAAGTATACTATCCATATGGACAAGGTGTGACTCAAAAAAATCTTATTTTCAGTTGGGGAAACAATAGATATGTTGGATTGAGTACATTTCAACAGAAAACCAATCAAGAAATGCATGCTACAGTCAAGACTAGTTAATCGATTGTTGGAATGACACTGATTGAAACATGAAACTTTTTTCTATAACATATATTCAAAAACTTACTTTTTTGTTTACAATAAAATTTCCTCTCATATTATTACCATGAACAATTCTATAGAACAAAAGTATAGAAGGTTTTTTTATGTCTATCCTTACACTACAAATTGAATAAATTTATTTTTAAGTAAAAGTTTAAACTTGTCTCTACTAACAAATAACTATGCGTATGAGTTATATAATAAAATAATTTCATTCTTTGGTATTAGCCATCGAACATGTAGCTAAATCGACCATCAGGTGCAGTATCTCCATTTCGAATAAGACTGAGTATATCACCATCTTGTATCATATTATCTACCCATTTGAAATCAATTTTTACAGGAACAGTGGTATTGAAACCCAATAATGTTCGTGGAACGGCTAAATGTAATTCATTACCTACAGTAACAAATGAAACTTGAGAAATTAATTGCCAATTCCAGCCCATCTCACTTCTTTCAACAGATGTAAGAGAACCATTGATATGACGATTGATAACAATATCGAATCCTTCCCATCCTGTTTCGAAATTGCGATCAATATTTATGAACAAAAGCATCCAGTTTGAACTGTTTTTAGCATTTGTCAATGTTCGATTTGTTCGAGCATAGAAATAAACATTATCGGTATCTCTTGCTACTTTTACCAATGCAATATCATTTCGACCTGTGTCATCTTTGTATCTAAAACTAGTATTATAACCAATCTCGTCACGATGTTCTACATCATTAGTATAATCGATATATGAAGGTCCAACTGTTTCCCATTGCTTAAAGTCCGGTCCAATAATAATAGTAGTTGGTGCGGTAGGTGTAGGAATAGCTCTAGCACCTTTATAACGACGAATATTGCTAACTAATTGATAGTAGTATGCATCTTGATAGTTATTACCTTTATAAAAACATGATCTTATTATTTTAGAATTTAAAAAAATCACCATATCTAATTTATTCAACTTACCTTCGGGAAATCCTCCATCTGTACCACCAGCACAAGGTTCCATATCACGGCTATGTTCCCAATCAAATTCGTCAACAAACATTACAGGAAGTTTAATACTAGCAAATTCTGAAAGACGCAATGCAATCCATTCATTCCAACCGGTAACAAAAACAAATTGTGGATCGATCTGTAAAACACGTTCCCATTGTTCTTGAACATTGAGTCCATATGGTGTTAACGTGTTGCCAGTTGGAATAGTATTATTATGAAAACTACGTCCTCTAGAACCAGTTTCGCTCATCGATCCAAGCCGGTTACCAACTGCATTTTGACCTACTCCCACTGTCATCTGTTCCGAGATGTTAGCACTATTCTTGAAAATATGTTGAGGAAATACTTCTAACCATCCCCACTGATTAGGTCCAGTTGGTCCAATAAAATAATCCGGTTGAGGAGTTCGAAATGTAAAAAAATTTAAAATATCTGGACGTTGTTGAAAGAATTGTGGATTGGAAAGAATCAATGGTTTGTCCTCCCATATAAACCATAGTTCTGAATAGTAATGTATCTTATAAATATTATCAAAGAGAGTTTCTACTGTTTGAAGAGGTGCTCCAAAAGGAGTGAGAAATGCAACTTGAGGTGTTGTTCCTCCTTGTGCTCGAACATCAGAAAATGCTTGACATAATGCTTGAAAAGATTCAAGATACACAGCTGTATTTGTCACGTCAAAAAAGATAACGTCAACACCAGCATTAGCCAACATTCTAGCGTGCCGACGAATGACCCATTGATCAGTAGATCGATAATAACCAAAATAAGGTTCACCCCAATGATGATAATGATACAAAGGACCCCATGCTGTATTATTGGGTTGTTGCATAGCATCCGGATTCGCTGTTATAATCTTACTGATATCAAAAGGGCCATCGCTAGTTTCAAGTCCAAGCCAAAGAAAATAAAAGACACCAACGAAGCGATCTTGTCGAGGTAGTTTAGCTTCTCTAGGTAAGGAACGGCCAAGACCATCTGTAGCAGTCCAAGTATCACTCATTAGATCCAATGAATGAATTGCTGGAATCCATACGAGTACAATAAAGAAAAGTTGGTAATATAAATACTGACGCATATTTAAAATAGTAATTTGACGAAAATAAATTCAAAAATATATGTTACTTAACGTGTAATTTTACACATGACATTTTTATCTAAAAAATATAACAAACATTCTAGTCACAATAAATTCTTAACCCATTGAACATGAAACAATGAATGAAAAAAACATAAAAACTAATTATCACTTTTTCACCGTTGTGCCGAGCTAAACGGTGGCTTGGTCTCTTTTCTTCATATGCACTTTAATATTTGCCCTTTTCGGTATTTAGCCACCGAGTGTTTCGAGTGCTATAGAAGGCATGAGGAATATTTAGTAGGGGGGCGATTACTTTTAAAGAAGAAAGTATACATATATATCAAATCGTATACTGCTCCACGCTGAGCCTGTCATCGTCACAATAATTACCCAGCAATTACTCTGACTAGAATAATATCTACGTTTAAAAAAATGATTCTATAAATTATACTTCACTCATAATTTTTCAAAATAATGTGCGCAACTCATTCTTTATCTCGTTTCAAAAAAGACACTTACTTGCTTCTTTTTTTATCTTAGTCACAGGAATAAGTTATTTTATCATTGCAGTAGGCTATAAATATTCATCGCTACTCGACTTGTCTACAGATATATATATTCATGTAATTAGAAACAAAGAACTTTTTGAAGAAGTACGTGCGAATTAAAAATTATAAAATCATAAAAAGAAACTTCATTTAACATATTCTAATTAAAAAAATGACAAATATGTCACACTTCTGTCTTTATAGATTACACCAATAAGTAATTAAGAGAACAAAATAGAGTAAATATATAGAAAATAATCGACAAGAAAGAACACCATTATTTGGTATTGATAAAATTGATTCATATGCCATTGTCATTATTTTGCCATATTTTCCTGTCTCATATTTTTCACCATCGAAAACTCCATTAATACATGGTGTATGTCGTTTATTTGTTAATAAAATAATAGCAATAGAATATTTTGGATCAATAACAGTACATGTTCCTGTCCATCCTGTATGACCATATGCAGAATTAGATGCATACGAACCAAACCATGATAATGAATTGTTATGATTTAGACGCCATCCTAATCCATATGTTGGATCTAGTGCATATGGTGTTAGAAATAGATTTTGTACATTTTCATTCCAAAGTTGAATATTTCCAAAACTACCTTGGTTTAACATAATTTGTGTTAGTATTGCCATATCATGCAGATTTGAAAATAAACCCGCATGTCCAGAAAGACCATTCATTGAATAAAATGATTTTTCATCATGAACTTGTCCTTGTAATACATGTGTACGTATATTCAGAAAATTAATTGTATTATTACGTGTATTTCCATTTAGCTCAGTTGCAGCAAAATCTGATTTTTGATAATTTAAATTATTTAAAGGATTAAATAATGTATGTGTTAAACCTAATGGTTCATAAATATTAATCTTTATATATTCATCAATTGATATTCCACTTATATGTTCGATAATTAAACCTAACAGCATATAATCAATATCAGAATAAACCGGTAATTGATCATCACCTCTTGATCGTTGAAATTCTACTTTTGTTTCAATAATTTGTTCGGTTTTTTTCTTATCTTGCGAATATAAATCAGATGAAACACTATCTGGATTGTAAAAATGAATACTTGGAGCATAGCCAGCTGTATGTGTCAATAAATCTTTTATTGTTCTTGTTTCACGACATTCTTTTTCAGGATTACATCCAATATATTCAGGTATATATTTTGTAATTGAATCATTAATATTCAATTTTCCTTGATGAACAAGTAGCATCAATGCATAATTTGTTGCATACATTTTAGTTAATGATGCTAAATCAAACATAGTATCTAATGTTAATAATTGTGGTTGTTGTATAACTGTCCCATTTTCATTATATTTTAATTTATAACCATAAACTGTTTGTTTCAATATTTTACCATATTGTGTTATAAGAAGAGCAGCACCAGGGAAACCTTGTTGAATTTCTTCTTCAATAAATTTATCAATCAAATCTCCATTAAAAACATCATATTGTGCATTCATAGTCATCTCGGAAGTGATTAAATTGATATTCATTGATAGAAATATGAGATATATATTTAGAAAAAATAAAGCATTTCTATAAGAGTTAGTGTACATGTTTTATTGATTTGTTATTGTGACAATACCGAAGCGCGTGCAGTATATCTTATACTAATATGCTTCTTTCGATTTCATTTCTTCACATTTCAGCATACTGATAAGATGTGTCTTTTTTTTTCTTTTCTCCTTCGTTATACTGCGACGATTTCTGATGTGATAGGCATTATTAGAGAATTAGTGTATGTATATATTTATTTCTAGAACAGAGGATCATCTTATACTACATTTCATCTTTGTTTATATACAATGAAAAGAGCAAGTTTGTGAGAGAATAAAGGTTGGATCATGAGATTAAGATGAGATACAAGTATGATAAAAGAACATAGAAATCATTTCTTTTTAAGGGTATAGGGAACGAATTGTTACATATACATTATTAGTTTGATTACATTTAAACATCGAGTTCATATTGTAAAATCAAGAATTCAAACTATCATATGTTAAAAGAACACTGATGATTCATGATCTATCATTAGCTGCACTTTCAGGTGTAAGAAATTTATTAGAAATTGACGAAAACCAATGCATAACTGAACAAAAAATCCTTCCTTCCTTTTTTATTTTTTGGTCGGATTGTTAAGATTTCAGCTAAGTGTCAGAAAGATATACTCACAAGTTTCATCACTACCTAAACCACAATTCAATATTAGTAGAATAAAACTTATAAACTTTACGTCTTCCTAAATTTAATTCATTTTCTTTTCTTTTTTACTCTGATTGAATAAATAGCTGAAGGGGAAGACTTATTCTAATATATCAATAGAATATAACTCTTTTCACTAATATTGCACTGGCACTTCAATGATATATACAATATATTGCTTGCGGGAGAGAAAGCGAGTATATTAACGTTCTCTTCTGAATCCGTATGCTGCTACTTATGTCCATGAATAAACACTCTTTTTCGGTCTTCATAAATATTGTGAAAATATGAATATACTTTTTTTATTGCATCAAACAATCATACTAATGGCGAATACAGCGGCACACGTCACGATTACTTTACCAGTAGATCCTGTTGTAATCAAAACTGAAGAGGATCACATTCGTCGGCGCTCAATTATTCGTGAATTCTTTTTAAATACATCAGCACATGCTCTGCCTGGGATTGCTCGTAGCAAAAGTATTCACAATCGTGTGTTTTGGTCGATCTCCTTCGTCAGTTTTACTAGTATTATGATATATTTTATTATCAAATCGATTCTTGCTTATTTTGACTATCCAACACAGTTTAATTTGGATGTTGTTGAAGAATGGCCACAATATTTTCCTGCATTCAGTCTTTGTAATGCTTCACCATTTTGGTTGGATCAATTTATAGGACCATTTTTAAATTATAGCAAAGTATATAATCTGAATGTGTCGAATGATACAACGACATGGACAACAACAACAGGCATCTATATACGAAATTTTATCATCGATAAATTGAACCGAAATGAATCAGTAGAGTCGTTCTCTTTTCCACTTTCTTCCATGTTATATTCATGTTCGTTCAATTCTGTGCCATGTACAGCGGCTGATTTCATTCCATTTACATCGTCATCCTACGGTATCTGTTACACATTCAATGCAAAACTGAGAAATAATCGCAGTGGTAGTGTACGATATGCAAATCAGAATGGTGCAGGTGGCACATTGGCTTTAGGTTTATATGTTTATAGTTATCAATACGTTCCTTATATTCGAGAAGGGATTGGAATCATATCTTTAGTGCATGATAATACACAAGCACCCTTGATTGAAACAGCTGGCATACAATTAGCAACTGAAAAAACACATAAATTAGGATACAAAAAGAAGACAACTTTTTTTCTATCCGCTCCATATACATCATGTACAAAACAAATTTCTCCTTCAATGAAGGCAATGTTAAACAGTTTTAATGGCGCTGACTATGAATACTCGACAACAATCTGTCTTCAACTTTGTCGACAAACTTTTGTGTAATGTTACAAAGAATAATAAATGAAAGTATGTGTTTATATAAACTTTCTTATAGATATGATCAGTGTGGCTGTATCAATCCTCAAGTCGCTAGTGCTCGATGGATTATGGATAAGAAAACGAATCAAGTTATTGAAGCAGTTTTCTGTAATCGAACTAATACCTGCTATCTCACAGCCATGGATCGACTATTAAGTTCAACTGTTCTTGTAGACAACTATTGTTCAGATTGTTCAGCACAATGTTCGATCACAGATTTCATTATTCAAATATCTTCTCTTAAATCACCAGCAGATTGGCAAAAAAATAGTATTAAAGCATTTGTAGAGAACTCGACGATTCGATATCCCGACGACTGGTCAAAGGCATGGCGTACATATGTTGCAATGAATTATGTGTCTGTCAATATTGTACGAGAAACTGATATTGTAGAAAATAACACACAATCGGCGACCACCGGTCTAGTTGATGTTCTGTCAAATATTGGAGGTCAAACTGGTTTATGGATTGGAATCAGTTTTCTTTCAATCATGGAAATCATTGAAATGCTCTATCGATTACTTCGATATCAATGTCAGCGGATTCGTCTAACAATACAAAGAGAATAAACAGTAGCATAGTAATAAATTTTGTTGATTACTTTATGTTCGATTGTAGTACTAGAGAAAAGAACACTTTCTTTGATAGTTTATGACTAAATTGTACCAATACTGGCTGGACATCCTTTCGGATTCACATATTCACGTTTCCTCTTCTAATGAAAGAAAGGAGAACATCGTCCTTGGTGTTATGTAATATGGTAATACTATCACGCATATATTATTAGACTGAGTGACAGATTGCATTAGCGATGTTCTGTAGAGTGTCGTGATGATGCTGACAGGCATAATTACGTCGCTAAAAAATCCACAGAGCTAAAATATCATAGATGATATAGTTTTTGTTAGTAAAAATTAGTTAAAATAACAAACGATATTTATTGTCTTTTTTTAAAAATACAAATCAACTTTAATCTAAATTCTAGCAATTTTATTTTACGTTTTTATACCCAGGTTGAACCACCAACGGATCCGGTTTGCGTTATTAGTTCAGAAACAATGGACTGTGAACTATGTGTTTTTGATGTAAGTAAAATATCTGTACTGCCATCCACTTGTGACGATTCCTTTTGAGAATAGACTTTATCATTTTCTGGAATCAATTTCAAAGTTCTGGCTGAAAAATCATCACAATGAGCTGTTTTTTTCCGTACATTTTTGGATAGCCAATTTAGGCATTTAATTCGCGGTTTCTTCAACACACCAATCTGTTCACATACGTTCCATGCCATATGACCAATATTATTTTCATAGAGAACCATAGTCTTGTCATGTAACAGATCTTTCATCCAAGATCGATTGAAATTGAAATTGGGTTCAGTTGCGACTACGATTAAGCCTTTCTTTTCATCTCTTGATTTATTAGTAGAAATTATGTAAGATAATTCTTGAAATTTATTAGTACTTTCACCATAGGCTGTTGATACTAAGGTAATAACCACTGTTGCCGATATAATATTCGGAGATACGTATTCCCACACATCATCAGACAGGTCAACATTTTCATAGTCGACCCAAATTGGTATTGTTGTTCTCTTACGCAGCTCGTTTACAAATTCTTTACAAAACTCTTCGTCGGTACGATCATAGCTAATGTAGATTTTCGATGATCTTTCTTTTTTCTGTTCGTTTGTTGATATAACTTGCTGAATATTACACCAAATACGTTTTGCATCATCGCGTTTTGGACGATTGGCAAGACTTTCTATGATTATACAAAACTGATTATTATCAATTAATTGTTTTAGATATTCCGGATAACTGGAAATCTGTAGTAGAATTCTAAGTAAATATTTGACAGCACGTTTTTCTAGTTCATCTGGTTCTGGATCCAGCAAAGCTCCATAAAACGATAAAAAAAGCTCTATAAAATACTGTATTGCTGTTGATTTTTCATCGATCTTATCTTCCAGAATATGTATTATTACGTATGTGTTTGTGAAAGCACGATCTAATAATTCCAGAAATTCCGATAAATGACACCCTTCAAATCTTAAGTCATTTTCTTGATCACTTTTCTTACACAATTCGTATAAATTTACGCTAGTATCAAGAATGAGTTTTTTATTTTCGTCCGATTGTTCATCACTAGTAGCTAGTGCAATTAATGCCCAACCATAACTTTGTATCATCTGGCTATCGTTTTCATTATAGATTAACTGCTTACGCTCCATCAAAATGTCGAACGCTTTTTCTCCACGAAGCTGTTTTAAAGCTGTCTTGTCTCTCGTCAAATTGTAAACAATATTAACTATTGGATTACCAATATCACTGATATCAGACGCAAATATATCTGTTTGAATCCACTGGATAATTTTTTGAATATAACCAGTATCAATAAATATAGAAATTATTGCAATTTTATCGGTCAGATTCCATAATAGAGATAAAATAGCTATTGTGACACATAGTACACGCAAAGAAACGTGTTCGTTTGCCTTTGTTAGATAATTATTAATAAATTCTTGAAAAGAGATCATAAGAGAACTGTAACTGTTTTTAAATTCGCCATTCGATCGAATAACTGCTTTGTGAACAAAGTTGGTAGGATGGGCTAGGTATTGATTCATGATATAGTAGAATTTACTGCTTTCTTCTTGTGAAGATTCTCCATTGGTTTCCACTGAATCTAAATATAAGTACCGAACGTCTATTAATAAACACCTTCCAACACTAAGAATATTACCTTTAGTTGTTACTGTCTCATGTGAAAGAATTCGTCGAAAGCAAATTTCGATAAAATCATCTTTTGCAAGGTTCAGAAGTATTGCATCGAAAATATCAGAGGCAATCACTGGAGAATAATCTTTTTTAGTATCAATACAATATATTAGATCATTCAATTTTTCAAACATTGACTGAAAAGGTTGTCGTGATATAAACAAATCAGATCCATCAATAGCAGAAATGCGTACAATTATATTTAATGTTGTAATAAGAAACATTGAACTTTTTTGAAGAACCATTTGATCCGATATTCGATCAATATTTTCAGTCATATTGTTGAAGATTGTCTCTATTTCAGTGATATTCATAGCATTCAAATTAGTTGATAAACTTGAAAGTTTATTGATTTCTTGAAGTAGATTGAGATAATTAGGTTTTGTTGTTTCTAATGTTGTGTGGCCAAGTTCTTCCATTTAAAACAAAATTTCTAATATATATTAAATAATCGTCCAAGTTTCTTTTTATTATTTTTTATTTCCTTCGTCACTGAGTATAAATGTAAAATATGTAGTCTGTTTCGATCATTAAAACTAGATTTGTCGTCTATAATATGAAGTAGTAATAGACGCATGCTAATGGAAAGAGAAAGAAAAAAAATACAGGATAGAAAGAAAGGAGTGGTGCCATATTCATTAGTAAAAAAAAAGACACAAGAAGAAAATGACATATTCAAATATGCTTTTACCTTTTATATTAAATATATATGGTTGACAGAACGTAAACGCACGTTTTGCTTATGATAGCGTTGTCGTTTGAAGGACGTTGAAGAATAGGAAAGAAAAAAATTTCTTTCTTCCTGCTATTGCCGCTATGCATTTTGTTACATTTTCAAACTTTCAGCTGCATCCATATTTTTTCTTCTAAAATTGTATTGAATCAGTAAGAGATAGATACTTGACAGTTATAAGTTTTTTTAAATAAAACCAATTAATATCAAACCATGAATTCATTAATTCGATCTGATATGACATTTAATAATGTATGTATCCTATAGCTCTATTATTTTTCACATTTTCTACTTCTTATTAGCCAATACCTTGGAGAGCGGCTATCGATCGATTGAAATTTCAAAAGCGATCTTGTACAACATTCATCCCAAAAGAGTAAGTACATGTACTTATATGAAAATTTTATTAATGAAATATTATTTGATAAATTAGAACAAATAAAGAATGTTGCGTTTGCAATTATACTCATTCGAAAAGTGACGTCCCACATGCAAATGAAGTATGGAATTGGAAAATGCACACAAAACAAGAATTTACTAATTGTTATGGAATATTACCTCAATCAACCAGTCCTGTACGTTATATTGTCTTCTAATAAAAGAAAATGATTTCATTCTTTTTTTCTTCTTCTTAATACAGTATTTACGATGTGATGTTGAAACCGACCTTGAACAACTTTGTTTTGTATTGTTGGGTGTATGGGGTATGGCTATTCCTAGTCTTATTATGCGAATGATAGGCGATATAGATACAACGCCAAATATCAAAATAGAGAAAGAACTTTTACAAAGTATTTCTGATGCTGCTGTTGCATCCGGTAAGTAAAAGAAAAGTATTAACAAATTCATAGAACAACATGTTTATCTAGATGCATGGATTATTACAAATGGATACAAAGAAGAGAGTATTTCAGAATTAGTCGGTGAAGTAATGTACAATTGTCGAATGAATAATTCTCATATAAACTTCAGCGCAATTGCTGTTGGTAAATGGGGCAATATTCATAATTGTCATAAGCTTGGCGAGAGGTTTGATGAATTTATTTTTTTTTAAATTTAATATTGTTATTTTCAGAAATCATAACACACCGCTAACAACACAGAAAGGTCATGGACGATACAAACTAGAATTAAATCATACAGAATACATATTTTTCGATGATGGTACATGTGATTCATTAGATACAGGAGAATTTGCCTCAAACTTCGCTCGACAAATATCACGTGGAGCAAGACGAAGAATACCGCTGATTACAGTTCTCATCGGTGGTACTCCTCATTCACTTTCATCGGTATACACTGATTTGAAAAGATTAGTTCCAGTCGTAATTGTTAACGTAAGTCATACATATTCAAAACAAACTTCACTATTGAATTCAATAGGGATGTGGACCATTGGCTGATACATTATATAAGTACCTGAAGTTAACCGAAGGTTCTTATAAATCATCAAAAAGTGATGATCAAGATGGAGCATTTAATGAATCTGAAGATGATTTAGATATCGCAACAATTAATGAAACATTTTCCGAAGGTGATGATGAAACTGACGTTCCATCGACTAAGAAAACGTAAGTTTATAGAGAAAAATCAAATAATACTGAATATACTATATACAGATTAAAAGAAATGTTGCGATCACTTGGTAAATTTCGTCTCGATTTTGTTAATGATGTACGAAAACTTTATAATATTGTACGACAGCAAAATTATGAAACTCAAGGTAAAAGATTACCTATAGGTGAACTATTAAGTTTAGAGGAAGAAAAAGCTCTTGGAAAATATTTATATCAAATGGCGAGTTGTTTAAATGCTCCTTTTCGAGATAATATTCATATTTTTAATATCGATTCATCAAAATCACTCAAGGAAACAATTTACTATGCATTTGTTAAAGGTAAATTTTAACGAAATTGAAAATCTCATGATGACTTCTTTTTATCTTAATTAGCAAGAGATAATCTTTCACAGACGAAGAAAAAATATCATAAAACTATTGATGAACAATTACATTTGGCACTTCGATGGAGTATTGGTGATACAACTGAAAATCAATCGGCGACTACTGCAAAGATTTGGAATGATACTAATAAAGTAGAACGTTACTTTAACTTCTGTTAATGCAGTTTTTTGTCATTTTAGATTAAACAAAATCGATTGCTCTTGATTGATGCACTTAGCAAAAATATGTTAATGTTCGTTATGAATTTTATGAAACTTGACATAGATTTTACCGTTTTATTTCGTCCTACTGGTACTCCATTGACAAAAGTTGCCACTCATTGGTCTTATAAATACCATTATTTACAAGAATTATATTCAGATACAAAGCGTAAAAATGTAAGACTCATCTATTATTTGTATTCAATGTTTAATCTTTTTTTTGTATACAGAATGATCCATTGTATTTACTGGATCAGATTAGTTCGAAGCTCACTTTTACAGAAGAAAAACATTTAGTCACTGTTTTACAAAAACTTGTAGGTGATTTCATGCTTCCACTGTATGAGACTCAATCAGATATTGAATTGATGTCATTGGGAACAGAACGAGATGATGATAAAGAGAATACAGATGCTGAACATATATATCGTGATCTCTTTCTTTGGTGTATATTAACTTATCGACTTGATATGGCTAAAATCTTTTTAAGTCAATTGAAAACTCGTATTTGTTCGGCATTGATTGCTTCTAAAATTCTTAAATCATTAGCAGCTTATGCACCGGATCAAGTTGCAAAAGATACATTGTTTGCTAATGCGAATGATTTTGAAACTCATGCTATTGAATTCGTACGATGTGCTTATATTAATGATAAACATAAAGCATGTGAATTGATTATGCGATGTACGAATCTCTATGGAGGTGTTACATGTCTTCAAATGGCTATTGCCGCAGATAACAAAAGATTTTTACATGAAGATGCTTGTCAAGCTTTATTAACGAATATATGGTATGATAAAGTTGATCCTGTTCAAGAACGAAAACGTCTTGTTGTTAATATACTTACATTTGGAATTTCTCAATTTTTCATATCGATTTATCTCAAGTACTTTTCCACTTATACTAGTGTGAAGCCGGAAAGTCATGTAAGTTAATAGCATCTGCGCAATGAATATTATTATCTATTTATTAATAGATCATCAAACACGAACGTCCAAAACGACAGTACGTATTCTGTAAAACAAACATAGGATAACTATTTAAATAAATTTAGATTGAAAAAAAATGGTATCGATTACACTGATGATTATGGTGCTTATGGAACGATATTTCAGCATTTTTTCCATTTTCACAATCGACCCATTGTTAAATATTGCTATACCTGTGTAAGTTCAATTATGTTTAATCGAATTTTTTCTCATATGTTTCGTTTTAGTTTGGTTATGTTCTCTTTCTACTTTTCTTCAGTTATTATATGCTTTTTGCATTCTTTCCATTGTCAAAAGAGAATCCCAGTATTCATTGGACTGAAATATTAACTATCATTACCGTAACTACCATGCTCTTTGAAGAAATTCGACAGGTTTGTGTTTTACTCTTTGACTATAGTTCTATATCTTTCATCGAATAGTTATTGGCTCAAGATAATCGATCGTTAATTGGCAAGATTCGATCATATTTTGATATAAACAATCGAATATCGAATTTATTTCTGGTTCTGCCAGCATATCTTCTATTCTATATTGGACTCGCTCTTCGTTTTACACAAAAAGATACTCAGGGTTTTCTATCTGCACGGTAAACATTATGAATAATTCAATATTCAAAGTATCTTTTTTTGTAGAATAGTGATGGCTTTAGATTTAGAATTATCGTTTATTCGTTCGGTTTTATTCATTGGTATTGCTTCTGATCTTGGTCCTAAAATTGTGATGATTCGAAAAATGGTAGGTTGGTTGTATTATTATGATTTTGTACCGTTTCATCATCGTTATAGACCAATGATCTTATTTTATTCATTATCGTCATCGTTATATTTATTTTTGGCTATGGAGTTTCATCAAGATCCATGACAGCTTATGGCACTATTGATTTCAAAGGTCGAAATATTTTTCGTGATATAGTTTATCCTGTTTATTATTTTGTTCATGGTAGCTTCGATAATGAACGTACACAGTTGGAAGGTATAGAAGTACTATCTAAAAAAATATATTCGTTCATTTCTTTCTATAGCTACACCGGATTCTGGTACGACTATAGTCACACAAGTCATATTTGCTTTTCATATGCTTTTTGTTAATATACTATTGATTAACTTACTGATTGCTTTATTCAGGTATGTAAAATTGAGAGAAAAAAAAGTTAAATAAATCTTGTTTTAGTTTTACAATAAATGATATTCAAACACAAGCACGTTATGTCTGGGCGTACGATCGCTGTGACATCATTCGTACTTATCACGCGCGACCAGCGTTGTTTCCTCCATTCACATTTCTCATTTCAATTATACAATGTTGTCGATGGTGCTGGAGAAAATTACACACAAATCGTTATGCAAATAAAATATTTCGTGAAGAACAATCTCAATGTTTCAGTAAATAATATTTTCAATTAAAAATACACGCATTTACCTAGTTGTATTCGTTTCAGAAATGATTCCAATTAATGATGATGTTGATCATGCATGGTCAGAATTTGAACGATATTCAACCAATGGTTACATTCGACAGTTGCTCGATGATCAAGCTACTGCACTTGTCAAGGGAACGACGACAGATGTTACGTAAGTTAACACTAGCGAGAATGAGGATATTGTATTTATGATATACATATGTAGGTCTGACTCTACATCAAACAATGCTGATGAATTAAAGCGTATCAAAAGTCTCGTAATTGATATTCAAAAAGATTTAGAAGACTCACAAACAGAGAATAATGATAAATTGGAGTCAATGAAATCTACTATCACTGATCTTCAAACACGATTTGTTCAAATGGAAATTCGTTGTGATCGATGGATTACAGATATGAAAGAAGTAAGTTTAATCTATTTTGTCTTCTCTAACATCATCTATCTAAAATATGGAAATAGATAACAACATCAATGAATTGGATGATGATGGCAATGGCAAATGCAAAAATGGGTGAATCAGAGCCTCCACTCATTAGAGACACATCAAGTAAAAAAACGTTTCTAGTTTTCTGATATTTAATGCAACTTTATTTTATGTCATTATTAGGAACCAGTTCAATCAGTCAAAAGCAACCGGGTGATACTATTTATAATCGATCTAATCAGCAATTGAATAAAGAATACGCAACAGCAGGACAACCATTGTTACAACAAGAGCAATTAGTAACACCTGAAGTTCGTATTGAAATGGCTCTTCGAACAAACAATAATAATGATATTTAGAATTTTTACTTATTCAGGAAGAACTATTTATATTATTTTTTAGCTTTTGTGATAATTTAAACGCTTGTATTCATCTTTTCATAACATGTATTGCTTTTTTAAATGTATTAAAATTCATCTTTTTTCGTAAAATGCCTTGAACCAACTACATCAACTTATTAAAATAGAAAAAAAAATATTTCTTTTCAAATAAATCAATTACATTTCAGCGAATAATCACTAGTGTCTTCTTCCTGTATTGCATTAATATGGAAATGAATATTTTTTATTTCCTAAGAAAAAGTAATTGAATGGATTTCTTAATAGAGTTGACTTGGTACGAAAGTTAAATGTATTCATCAACTGATCCTTTATGAGAAGTGATTTTCTCGATAATACAAGAATCTTGATTATAAAGATTTTTGTTTCTAAGTATTATAGTACCTAAAAAAAAATGTCCCTTCAGCACAAAGGAAGTGATATTAATCAATTTCGAGATAAGATTGTATTAAGACATTTTAAAATAACAGGAAGTCACGAGTAATAATTTTTTCATCGGACAAATGGAATTGCATTTATTACTTGACAGTTCATTTGCATTATTCATTCATTTAACTTCAGTTGATCAACTTTAGTTCTCCTAAATAATGGCTTCGAGAAAAGTATGTCTACTGCTTTTACTTTTATTCACTACACAATCATTGGAAGAACATATTCGATCATTTCATATGATTTCGATGATTGGTCAGACTTTTAAATGTGCTCAAACAACTTGTTTACCATTCATAAGTCTTATTACATTGAACATTCTCGGTTGTCAAATAGCTTGTTTGGATCAAACATTATGCGAGGCAATTAGTTTTCGTCGATCAACTTCAAACTGTCAACTGTTTGCTGATGTATTAAATCAAACGGGAAACATGTCTTATGATATGGATGTGGTGACTATGACTGAGATTTCAACAACACGATTTTCCTCCGGTTAGTTAAAACATAAGAGATGTTTTCATTGATATTTTTCGGAAAATTATCGAATAAGTGAACTACCTTCATTTCTTGACAAGTTGTCGGTAAAAGCCCTACCACTACAACTAAAAAAAGTATAAACTCATTTGTTAAAAGTTAATATTGTAAAAGAACAAAGGTAGAGTAAATCATTTAAACATCTATTTTGTTATTATAATAAACTTACAGCTATGAAGGATATAATGATGAAGTCGGAGGAGTAGCGAATTATGAATAAAACCTAATTTTTAAATCTCTAACTTCCATCTAAAGTTCTTTTTATTTACAACAGAACATTATATAACAATAGCATCGTCGTCGTCATCAACAACAACAACAACATCAGTGCCAGGTTAGTAATACGCTAGATAGTTTTTATTTATTCCAATTATAAAGCCACTAATCTGAAGTTATTTGAACAAATAGTTTATATCCTCACATCTGTGTCTTGTTTAGGATGGATAACTAGTGGAAATATGACTGTCCCACGACGTTTACACGCTGCATCCACATTAGGAAATGGAAAAGTGTTAGTTACTGGTGGATATAATGGTATTAATTATTATAATAGTGCTGAATTGTATGATTCATCGACAGGTATTTGGATAAGCACAGGGAATATGAGTACCCCACGATATTCTCATACAGCATCCCTACTAGCAAATGGAAGCGTATTAGTTATTGGTGGAACTGATGGCAGCACTGCTCTCAATAGTGTTGAATTATATGATCCATCAAGTGGTAATTGGACAATAACAGGAAGCATGAATAACGCACGACAATATCATACGGCAACTAAACTGGCAAATGGAAAAGTGCTAGTTACTGGTGGATCTAATAATGGTGTTGTCCTCAATAGTGCTGAATTATATGATCCCGTAACAGGCAGCTGGACAGTCACAGGAACTATGACTATCGCACGACAATATCATACTGCATCCATATTAGCAAATGGAACAGTATTAGTTATCGGTGGATCCAACACTGGTTCTGCTGTCAATACTGCTGAGTTATATGATCCATCAAATGGCATTTGGAGAACTATACAGAATATGAATAGTCCACGACAATATCATACTGCATCGATATTAGCAAATGGACAAATATTAGCTGCAGCTGGATATAATTCTGGTGGTACTCTCAATACTGCTGAACTATATAATCCGTTAACAGGCACCTGGACATTCACCGTGAATATGAATACTCCACGGCAACGTCATACCGCATCCGTATTAGCAAATGGAAAAGTGATAGTTGCTGCTGGATCTAATGGTAGTTTTATCAATACTGCTGAAATATATGATCCAGCAACAAATACTTGGACAAATACAGGAAACATGAACGAAGCACGACAATTTCATACAGCATCGATATTAGCAAATGGAACACTGTTAATTGCTGGTGGATATAATACTGGTGGTGCTTTGAAAACCACTGAAATGTACTGATTTCAACCAACCAAACGACTTTTTTTTCATAGACAGAATCATAAAATTTAATGTTGTATACAAACTATATAATCATAAATATTTCTGTAAACGTACTCTTATCCAAATAAAATATTAAATACTGCCTACATCACACAAACTCTCTAGTTTATATGATGATGATACCGTTAATGAACTTAATCTCTAAACATGCAATCACATTCATTCACACCCCCGTTTTTCTTACAGATATTTATAATTAGAACAACAAAATTAGAAAGATTAAACAACAAACGAGTTAAAAACTTATGAATAATATACTTGACATAATCACAAAAGAAAGAAAGGATAAATACGCTTCGATTTTTGAAGTCACAATCGGGATTAGTAGAAGATTTTTATGAAAATAACCAATTAACTAATCTTTAATTAAAGAAAAATTACAAAAATATTAGATGAAGTTTAATTGTTTGTCGAATGTTATGCAATTCTTTTTGTAATTGCAACACTTTCTGCGCTAATGTTTGGTTAGATGACATACTTCCAGACACTTTGATTATCACTGTTGTCAATTGAGGACATTTTATTGGCAAAATGATCCATTGATTCATATTTAATAGTTGTTTAATATTTTCTTTGTTCATTATGAAACAAACAGATCGAATATTCTGCATCTTTTTAATAACCTTAGTTGTTGTTCTTATCTAAAACTGTAAATTCGAATGTTGAGGATTATCATCTATCGAATTTAAGCAGAACTGACTTAGATCAAATAGAAAATATTCAATCGTCGTATTCAAATTAAAGGAATAACGTTGAGTATGCAAAGATCCTATGATGCGGATTTGTAATCGTTTGACTGTACTTGGAAGTTGATTAAACATTTTTTCATATGTATAAAAATTCACTTTCCCATCGTACCAAAAACGAACACAAATCCAAGATGGAAAGAAGTTTTTAAATGTACTAATTTCAAATGAATATCGAAGATTGACAAATGTCAATGTCCTGACGTTTCTGAAGGCATACGAAGATTTTAATATGGAAATAGAATCAAGGTAAGTTGAATTAAATTCTGAAGAAATAATTTGTTCAGGATTGAGTTTTCGACAAATCATTCTTATGAATGTATCAGAAGGATTAGACAGATGTACTTTTGTCTGAGATTTAGAGAGTACAGGAAGAATATGAGTTGATCGCATCGTTTAATGAAAGATACTGACTGATTTCTAGAATAACATCCCAACAAAGACCAGTCTTGGTAATAAAATCGCATGCCTAAAACAAAATTAATGATTTAATCATGTTTTAAAGGACAAAAAAGAATAGAGACTTACTAGAGCTTGTTCATTAGCTACATATTCCTGTTGAAATAAAACCAGCTCTTTTAAGAATCCTTCACGACTTATTTTAGCCTGAGTACGAGTCAATATATCACCATTCAACAATGGTATGAATTCATATTGAGGTGTGACCAAGTCACCTTTATTCTCTTCAAATAGTTTCATTATTCCAATAATCATAGGATATTGGTTAAAAGGAAAAGTTAAATTAAAAGGACTTGAAAACATTTCTTTCCAAGTGATTTCCATTCTAATTTATATATAAAAATAATATATATGTTAACGAATTAAGATTACTTACATCTCTTGATTCAGTTCTGATGTATTATCCCATGAATAGATAATAAAATTTTCCAATAAACAGTCAATTATAGTTATCGGACAAATGGTTCCATTGAATTCACTGTTATCATGATGTAAATAAATAAGAACTGGACAATACTAGAATAATGAGTATATATTCTATTGAACAACATAATGTATGGAAACGAACTTCTTTCGCTATTGTTAAACTGAACATGGGTTCATAAACGTTTGGAAGAAAGCCATTGAAGAGTGTTGGACAACGTTCATAACGCTGTTGTAAAGATTCGTAAAAGAATTCAGTTCTGTCAACTTCAGATTCACATGCATCAGAAACTTTAAATAAAATACAATTAAAAAACTTTCTTATTTTGTAAAAAAATAACTCACAATGACTAAAATCATCATTCAAATCTGTATTGAAATACTATACAGAAAAGAAATAATATTGCTGAAAAATATAATGATTATGACGTTTAATATGAGATATTTATATTCATTCTTTCAATCTCTTAGAACTGTATGGAATAATGAAGAAATGACTCACCCATATTTGTTCGATATTATCACATTCATCTTTAAAAGTACTCAATTCGGATAATAATGTTTTCATGATCGATTTCTCTTGAGAACGTATCGATGTATCACCTTTAAGTAATGATGTAAATTGATATTCGGATGTTGGTAACCAACATTTTATTTCTGTAGATCGACGTGTTATACCAATCAACAATGGACATTTTTCAACAGAAAAATCATTAAACAGTGGCGTAGAAAAAGTTTTTTCTCATATTGTTGACAGTCTAATTCGAAAATAATATAAACTATACACTCTTGACTAAGGGAAAAGTGAGATAATGTTACTTATATTACTCAAGCATTGAATTTAATGTACATCAATAGAAATAAAATGAGTCTTAAGTAGCTTACCTATTTCTATTCGATTCAAGAGTAATATCCCATGGCCAGACGATATAGTTTTACAAAATATGCTATTTAACATACTCTTATCATGATGTATATAAATAAGTAGTGGACGACGCTGAAATAAGATAAAGCTATATGATATATTGATATTAATATTAAGCTAAACACACCTCATGAATCTCTTGCGAATTGAAAGCTGCTTTACAAGCATCTGACAGGGAGCCAGGAAAAAACGAAGGGCTACTATCGTAACGATGTGCAAAACAGGCGTGAAAAGTGTCAGCAACATTAGTATCATCATGGCATTCGTTGAAAGCTTCAACTAATAGAATAATAAATACAAGATTCTTGTTGAAAGATAACTTACAAGAAGTATTAGAAGCGAATATATTGTAATTATCAGACGTTTCATCGTCACTGAACTCGAAATCATTATCCTGCAAAGAAAAATGAATAGAAATCTTTTTGAAATTACATTAAAACACATACCATTGTTGCTTATATTCTCTTATTATCGACTGAATAAATTTTTAAAACATAAACTATGGTTTGTTCGTCAATAGAAGTATATAAAGATGATGTTGGAAATTTATACTCATTTCACATAATAATAGATAAGAAAAAACCCATTCTTTCCTCTTCTACTGCGACTAGTCAATGACTTATAAATAGAAAAAAGAAGACATACCACACGTAGTCTTGTTCTATTGACATTATATTATGATGTAAAAAAATAAGCACATTTTCACTTCACTATATGTTATTAGTATTTATCGGAAAAGATTCCAATCAGACAAGAATTCAAAAACAAACTTACTTTTTATGGTTTTATAGGATATCCAAATGAAACAGAACTTTTCTAAGCTAATGATTCAGTAGGTTTTAGAAATGTTCAAAATTGAACCGTAAATAATCTTTATTTCCTTACTTTTATATTGCAACAAACAAAATTTAAATTGTATATTTACTGTTTTATTTCGTTTAATTGAATAAGAATACAATGAAATTATATACGTCTTTGTGTTTTCTTTGCTTACTCTCAACTATGAAAGTTAATAGATTTCTGCTCTTTGTCTACTATTCTCTATCCAAAGTTCAAGATCTTCCAAATTTCTTGGTTCAAAACGGCATTTAAATTTTTTAGGTTGAACTACTAGAGCCGTAGGAAGAGCATTAACTTCCATTCCATCTGTGATTGCTGCATCTGCCTCGTTCATTGGTCCAAGAATTTTAAATCCTACAATAAGTCGAATAAAAAAAGTAAAAAGTTCTCGATTTGCTAGATGAGCACCTATACACATTCTACTTCCAGCTCCATATCCATAATGTGGCGTACCATCAGCATCACCAAGATAACGATCTGGATTGAAAGTATATGGATCTTCAAAATGATTTTCATCATAATCACCAGCAAATGCATTCATGTAAAAAGATGTTCCAGCTGGAATTTGAGCACCATTATATTCAATATCTTGTATACTACGTCGAGGAAGACTCATATGATGAACAGTATAAAAACGAAGAATTTCTTTATATAATGCAGTAACATATGGTACTCGTTCTTCTGTTAAACATCGTTCCCATGCATCACCATCAGGATAAACATCTAGAATTTCTCTATATGCTCGTTCTTGAATTTCTTGACCGTGTGCGGATGAAAGATAGCCAATACCAAGAATAATATTTGTTGGAATTGTTTCAAGAGCAGCACTAATCATAGTTAAACATATACTTTTAATTTCAGTTTCATTTAATTTTGCTGATGGATCTTTAAGAATATTGCCTGTAATACATGGTTTATCGACACCATTAGCAATATTTTTTTTCAATTCACCAAGTAAATATCCAAGATAACGATCACGACGAAGACGAACTGCATTCGCTTCATTGGATCGAGCAGGAAAAAGACGAAGAAGTGGAACATAATCTTGCCAATTATTTGATGCAGATCGAAATCTTGCAACTGCTCCTTCAACTTCAACAATTTCTTTAAGAAGTTCATCTGATGATGAAGCAATACGTGTACCATAATTAAGTGTAAGTGATGTATTCAATGCAAATCGTTGAAGATGTGGAATAATATTAATATCTGCTTTTCCATTTTTACATTCATGTAATATTTCAGTAATTGCCACATATGATTCAAGATCAATAATTGGCATATATGATTGTACAGCAGGTTTATTTAATGCTGTTGCAGCTGCTTTACGTCGTTGTTTACATGATTCATCCCAAGGTGAAGTTCCTATCGATAAAACTTCACTACTAACAACATTATGAAATGTATGTAATGTAGGTCTACTAATAAGTGCAGCTTGATTTTTAACCCAAAATTGTTTAATAGAATCATATGAATTTGCAACAACAATTCGTTTACTTCCCATACGTATTTGAAATACAGGACCAAGTTTCTTAGCCATTTTTGAAAGAGCCTTGGAATGATTACCACCTAGTTCAAATAAACTTCCAAATATAGGCCATCCTGAAGCTTCTGGTAGTCCATGAATCTTTGGAATATCCGTAGAATCGA